CAGAATTCGGAGTTTCACATTTCTCGCTGGTGAAAACCAGAAGATGGTAGTTGTAGTTTAATTTTTATCTTATTATTATTATTTTTGTGTTTGCTGACTAGTCAAGAATTTTTTTATTTTTTATTCTCAAATCGTTTATGTTTAAAATAAGTAATTGTTGCTGCTTACGTTTCTCTCAGGGATCTAATATACAGGTTTTAGCTAGAGGTGTTGAGTGTGACATAGCTCTGCTTGTGGTAGAAAGCTTGGGAAAGGAGCTGAACCTCTCCATTTTGGACGTTTGCCTCCTTTTAGGTTGTGTTGCTTTGATACTTATTCCTAGCCGAGGAATAGTTTTGTTTCCATCCAGTATGTAGACAGAAATATATATAATGACAAAAACTTACACTATGAGAATGACAGATGTATATATTTCGGCATTCAGTCTCTGTGCTGGGCCATGGTTTGTATGTCACAGTGTTTTGGTCTGATTACTAAAGCTATAAAAGACCGTTGTTTTTTCCTTTATTTCTTTCAAAAGTAGTTGGGTGGTTGTATAAGATTCATCATTTTTTGTTTTCCTTTCTTCCTGTATGGTTGTTCCATTCTTTCATTTTTTGTTGAAGATGTTATTCTATGTTTCTTTAATCTTGTGCTTCACACATGCAATGTTTCTTTAATCTTTTGCTTCTCACATGCACCTGCATGCACACGCCACACTTAATAGAGATTTTAATGGTGGGAAACAAGTTGGCACTTTCATGATGACACTGTCAAATCTGTCAGCTCATCTCATTCTTCCTGATGTTTTCTTGCATTAGATGTTGGCACTTGTTTTTTGTTTTTATCCTGACAAGATCTAAATTTGGTTTTTGAGCATAAGTTGCTAATTGACATGAAATTATCTCAAATAATCATTTATGCATAAATTTCCAGGATTCCCTTGCCTTGGTGTGGTGTTACAGAAATTAGAGAATCCAGCTCTACGTGCCTGCTTAAAAGTTCCCTATAATGAGGTTTGTTTTTATCTAGTTAGAAACAAAATATATATACACTTGGTTTCATTTCAATTCTTTTGTTAGTTGCTACGCTATGTGTTTGATTGAGAGTGACAGTATTTGCCAGTGGGTTGAGGGGTGGATGTTTGGAAGGAAAAGGTAGGGAGAGTTGGATATGGAAGGAAGTGTGGAAAACTGGGGAAAGAGGTGATGATAAAAAGAGATGTATCATCTATCTCAAAGATAAGAAACCGTTCTTTGCTATCAAATTTGAGCTTTTCTACTTCTTTCATCATCACAACTAGAGGATCCCAGTGTTCGATTTGGTTCTTGAGTTTCATTGATCCCATAGTACCAGTGTCGTTTTAACACGGGTACGTTGAGAGTTCACTCACACAGGTTAAAACATCAAAACACATCAAAACTCTGTAAAACGGTGAATTGTAACTAGTGGAACTATGCCAAAAAAATATTGATATCACTCTTGTCATGCATGCGGAATATCAATTTGATTGGTTACAGGTGGCTCTATCCATAGTTGCATCACATTCTTTAAAACAAATTTGAAATAAGATATTAATTGGTAGTGCAATATAATTCCCATTTTCCTATAAAATTGATCTCTGGCCTCTGCGACAAGCATGATAGGTGTTTCTTATCCGATGGCAAGCTTGACCATTGAAGAGTACCACAAAAAGTTGCATGAGTGTTGAGAATTGTGTTAATCAATACTTAATTGCTGATATATATGTCTGGTGAGCCTCTTGTAGTATTCTTGTTTGGATTTTGCTATTCTTTTAATTCCCTCTCCTTAATAATGATACAAGTGTCTTGGGTTTCTGGCTTTTCATAAGATTAACACTTAGAGAATCGAGTATTACTTGTAAATTTCATGTTTTTTCAGGGGGGTGTGATTGTAATTTTTGCTGGTATTTGTGTAGGGTTTGAAGCAACAGTGCCATTCAGATCAACTGAGCGCGTAGCATTTAGCTGCCTCATTAGTGAAAAGTAACGTGTTTTTATTCTGTGTTCAGATAATGAATTTCTCAGCTCATTTTAGTGGCCTTAACAAGTTCTTGTAACTAATATTTAAGATGTGGAATACCGTGTAATGACACATATTGCTTTCTTGGCAATTCACTTCGGTATAGCATACACATTACTGTAGCACTCATTTACTCTTGCTCTCCTACTCTTACACTACAATTTATAGGGATATGTGCAAAATGACTGATTCTTGTTTATTTTACTTGCAAAATATAGTACAACACAATCTACTTAAACCTAAAGTGGATCATGTCCTGTTGAATTGGGTAGACCCTGCAGTGTTGTATGTTTCTCTGGCGGAGACATGTTTACCTATATCGTTGCTGCTATTTGTCCAATAATCAGAAAGTTGTAGTTTTCGTCTTTGATCTAAGGAAATTCAAGTTCAGGTTTGCAGGTGATGTAGTGGAGGTTGGTATTATTAGAGCTGGAGCTTTCATGAAAGTTCAAGCAATTTTGAATCCACTTGTGCATTTGGTAATGCAAAGAGAAACTTGGCTTTCTAATGGCGTGAACTTTGATACCTTGATAACGTAAATTTTGTTTGGTGTTGATTAATTTGGTTTCCTAATTCTCTCATCTCAAGGTTCCTATCTCATCGACGGAGCTCAACCTTCATATTTGATAGTTGCCAAAAAAAAAAAAAAATGAAATCTGAAAGACGTAATTGTCATATTGATAGGTTAAAAAAATCTCATAAAACGTACTCTGAGTGAAAAGCACCAAGTCAGCAAATTTAATAATTTTGACAGCGAGGATACTAATAATGTTATTAGAATCCTAATAATCTTATGATCATCAACCCAATCACATCGTTTATTTCTTTACCTGATTTGTCGTTTCTCTCTTTTGGTTACTTTTGAAATTCCTGGCAAAAGCACATTACTCTTTGGCAAGATTTAAGGGGGAGCAGATAGTGCTCCTATCGTAGGTAATGGCGTGCTTTTTCCCTAAACAAATATTCACGAGTTGCCAAACGATGTCTCTGGTTTGCTTGTTAATTATCTTGCACTAGCATCCTCTTTCACACAATGCTTTGTTTTGTTTTCCTCTCTTTTTGAGAGTTGAATTCTGAACTCTGTCATCATTGGTGACAATAACAGGCCTGGTTAGTATTATACTTTTTCATTATGATAAAGAGGAGCGCTGATGGTCTTTCTTGGGGACTGCTAATCTCTCTCTTCCATTGCAGGGTCTTTGCAAGTGAAGTAAACATTGGATATGAGGATATGGGCAATCAGCAGGCAAGTTGTTTCTTACCACTTCATATCCGGAATGCTTTGGCCAATTCATATACATCTCTCAAAATAAAGATTGTGCTGGTTTTGAAGTTCAATGGGACGCAAATAAAAAAGCATTCATCACCTAGCTCACCTGGTTGACTGTAAGTGCTGGCATCTCTTTCTTCTTACCGCTTTTTCCGTAGCTACCTTAGTCCTGACAAATGTCTGGTTTTTCTCAGCAGCACGGACAAGGATCTTGTTTGCGAATTTGAAGACAATTACCTTTCTGTTTGGAAAGGGAGGCGGCTACTGCTGCCTCATCCTGCATTCTCAAAGATTATGGAATTCCATCTGAAAGATCTTCTGATCGGAGCCATATGTGGAATATATTGGAGACAACCAAGCAAAGATTAAAGGGTTGATTTTGGGGACAGTCCAGTTTCAAATCATGAATTTGGTTTTGATTGGCTTCTTTGGGCATAATCACCAATTGTTGAGCTAATACATGACTGGTATCAAATAGGTGCGCCAAAAGCCTGAAACCGTACACAAACCCTAGTCCTTCAAATCCTCTTCCTACCCCTTTCCAAATCCTAACCCTAATCCTAATCGCAACTCCAAACGCCCTCCACAACCACTGGAAAACATCCCACACACGCCTGAAAACTGCTAAATCCCTCACTCTGCCCAGCCCAAATCCACAAATTATTTGCTGCATGTTCTCAACAATTGGTCTTGGTTTGTGCTTATCCACGGTTTGAAATATGTGAAACCATATCTGTGGTATTATTTCTCCTTCTTTCCATCTTTTTCGGCTGTGTTTAATTCTTAATCTTCCTCATCTATATTTCTCTTATCCACAATTTTTGTTTTGAAAATTCATGGATACTTCATCTATATTTAGTTTTTAATCATCCTTGATCTATATATATTTTAAATATATATATATTCTTAATAAATTCATATGATTGTAAAGGTTTTTATTTATAACCTTTAAAAGTTGGTGTAATCAATAAGAATTCATTTATAAGCAATCAAATTTTTATATATAAAATATTTCAAGGTGATTGCGTATTGTAGGCGAATAGGGTTTTAGGGGGAAAACTATGGTTCTTAGACTCTAATGATTGATTTTGAAAATTTAAATTTCATGGATTTGTTGTTTCTCGTTGCTTATTATCAGAATAGTAGTGGGGCACATTCAATCTTTGTTTGTCTATTAGTTCTCAGTTCTTCTCTTTAGTGCGGAGTAGAGCAGTTTGGTAGCTTGTAAGGTCATCACCTTGAGATCACGGGTTCAGATCCTGTCTCCGCTACATTTTTTTTTTTTTTTTTGCCAGAGAAGTGTTTTTTCCCCCTCTTTTTTGGGTTCACTCTTTGAGTAGTTGTTGGTTTCTCTTTACTTTTTCCCTTGTTTGCAGTTACATTGATGAACTTACTGAATGTTAAAGAGACTTTTTGTGTTACTGGACTTAATAATGTTATTGGACTATAGTCCTGTGATTATTTTACTCGTTAGTTTTTCTTGTATGGGTTCCAAGACTACTTTGGACTGCTGCTTGATGTGGTGTTACTGAAATTAGAGAATCCATCTCTACATGTTTGCTTAAAAGTCTCATTAGGTTTGTCTATATCTAGTTAGATCCCAAACGGGTCCTTGGATTTGTTGGGGTGATGGTGAATGAACACTGACACCCCCCCACCCCCCCCCCCATATATATATTTTTTCTTTCTGCGTACCATCTATCATAGATTTTCTGAAAAAAATTGTGATATATTTTACTGAAATTTCTGAAATTTAATCTTTGAAAATAGAAACTGACCATTGTTAATTCATAAAATAATGTTTGGAATTTTAATTTCCTTGGTTGGTCCGTATTAAAATATTGCTTGTTCATATTTCTTCTAATGCGAAATCTATATTGTTATGGTAATAAAACTTAAGTATGCTTCAGGTGGAGGAAATATGTTACTCACATAAAATTAATCATTGTAGTCTTTTGAATAGTGAACGTAGTACTGTCTTAGAGTTTGACAGAGTTGACAGAGTTAAGTGCATGTTGCGTGTATGTCATCTTTGGGTGAGTGGTCTTTTTTATCTTTTTAGGTTGTGGCTGATTAAATGAACAAAAACAGCTTCATTGTTACCTGCATTACTCCTGAATGTGAAGTTGTCATTTATCATACTTCACTTTTTTCTCAGATTGGGTTATTGTTCCCTAAATTAACCTGTCACTGAAATTAACAGAACATGATTTTTCTACAATGACTAATTCATTTAATATTCTTGCCATTCAAGTAAGAAATGTCTTCTTTTCCTATTTTCTTATCACTACAGTTTTCATTTATTTATTTATGTTAGAAGCGATTCTTAATTTTTGATGAACAATTTTTTTTTTTTCATAAATATTTCTGATAAACATTGTTGAGCTGGAGGACCATATTACTGTTTTGTCTTAAGTATAGTTATTGCTGCATCATTTGCCGACTCTATCTGGAGGTGGAGTTGGCAGTTTTCTAAGTTTTGTTGTTTGCTAAAGAAGGTATTGGCATTCTAGGTTTCGTTGTTTGCAGTTTTCATGACTGGTGGAAAATATGTGCATAATCTCTGGTAGCCAGACTTGTAATTTGGTTGGCTTTCAAAAAATTGGATATTTTGTTCTCTGCAGCTAAATCTTTCATAGTGTTGAATGGTCCTTGATAGATGCTTCTTTCTTGTACGTTTTACCAGCTGTTGCCATTGAATGATCTTAACATATTTAATAATGTGAAAGGATCAGTGAGCTCATTTATTATTTATTATACACATTCCTCTCACGTGGACTGTGTATTTTTTTGGTTGGACTGTGTAACCTTCTTTGAAGGCATTGTAATGCTCTTCTTTCTGTTAAATTATATGCACCTGAAAAAAAAGAAAAAAAAAAATGTACAATTGATGTTCTATATTGAAAGCTCTCCCTTTACACGTCATTGATGATTTTAGAATGTCCTGGAAGAGGGGCTGAAAAAATTATTCTGAATCTTCTCTCTTTCCATGTCTAATTTCCCTGTAGGCGCAACCTTGGAGATGGTTTAACAAATTACAAAGTCTGAACTTTTTAGAGTTCCTGTTAAAGCTGGACGTGAACCATGAATACATTCTTTTTCATTCTTTTCTTTTGTTTTCTTGTAAGGAATTAAGTTCTTATCTATAGTCTATAGAATTTCTATGGTACAAAATTATTATTATTATTATTTTAATATATTTTTTAAATTCTTCACATTTCAAGAGGTAATTCTGCATATTTTGGGCTTAGTGCATTATCTTTACACAGGCGGTTCCAAAGAGTGAGTTTTGCTAGGTGCAGTAGCTTGGCAGCCCATTTTGAACTTGTCTGTATGGCTTAAAAGTTTTCTTTTCTAACGTACTCATGCAATATACATGAACATGTGTTTGCATGTTGGAGAGTTGTTAGTGAGGCGAAGAATAATGATTTAATTCTTTGGAAGGTTGAAATCTTGTAAGAAGCTTCTTATCCTTTTTCTATTTCTTTTTTTCTTCGTGGAGTTGCTGCCAGATTGTTTCCATTGTTTGCTTGCATCTAGTTTTTTAATAAAGTTTTTTTCCCCCTCTTTGCCTTTGTGACATTACTGTATGCTTTAACCATTGAGGTTGTTTGCAGTTTATTACATGTTTACATAAAGATGCTTAAGTAAAGCTCCTGTATGGATGGTCTGTGAACAGTTAACCAAAAACTTTTAAATTTGGTATGTTAGATAACAGGATTCAAAATATTTATTGCTGCCACACAATAATTTTGATCTGCATTGCATCCTAGAGCTGGGTATTCTCTTTTTTTCGAATAAAATATTTATATGCGGATCTTGCACAAATAGTTGCTGCACTTATTGTTGGTTAAGTCATATAATGCTCATTCTTGTGTTAATTTATGTTTGGTTTATTTAGTCTTAAGTACCACAGCGACACCTCCCAGTCCTAGAGGTGATTATTGAATTGCACTCGAACAACTTTCTTCAATGACCAGGTACCAAAAGTTTTCTTCATTCCCGCATTATGGAGGGGCAAGTCAATTATGAACTTATGTTTTCAAATGCTATATTCTGTGGTCATATGTATAGTTTACATATAGCAATTATCATGTGCAACAGGTCAAATTGTTATCAGATATGATGAAACCAAATCTGGAAACAGGAATTATTGGTGATGACGGTGAATTAGTAAAGCGAAGGATTGCTTTCAGATTAAATACATATCGTGTGAAAAAGGCGGAGTTTCTTGGTATATTCTAATTGTCTATATGGTGGTATTTTCTTATTTGCTATTATCTTAAGATGGAGATCTTTTTCTGTGACTGCTATTCATTTGTATGCTTTGGCTTACAGAGGTTCCTTTGGGAAGCTTGGCAAGATTTAACACTTGTTACCTTGATGGTAGCTGCAGCAGCATCATTACTACTAGGAATAAAGACTCAGGTGAGTTGGGTCATATGAGAATTCATATAGATCTTCCATAATATCCAAAATGGATCTAGGGGTTCTTGATTGTTTAGCATGTTCCGAATACCCCTTATTAAGTTTTATTATTTTTTCCCCAAGTTTTCTTATTAGCCATGTCTAGTTGACGTTTGACAAAATAATTTAGGGTCTTAATTACATTCTCAAAGTTCATATGATGTTATCTGTGAGATTGTACCTTGTCATTCCTAAAATACAAAAGTATAAATGATTGTTGCGTCTGGTTGATTTCTCAATTAGTGTATGCCTGGAACCTCTAAACTGAGTGAATTGTCTATGTTAGACACCTCTGGACTTTGACTTGCCACAAAATTTAACAAGACACCTAACATTTTTCCCCTCATGCCATACTCAATTTATATACTTCCAAACTCATTTTCTTTAGTGGTTGCCGCCTGGTTCTGTTGGGTCCTTGAGAATGTAATTTTTTATTTAAGAATTATTATAACATGAAATCGATGAACTTTCTTTCTTTGCCATGGTAAATTAACTACTTGTAGTCTATTATCAGTACCTCAGTTAGTTTTAAAATTAATTGAATGTCATATCATTTTTGTGATATTTTGAAATGTAGGTGCTTGGAAAATGAGGATAAAAAACTTGCATGGTGTTGAATGTAAGTTTTGTATTTTACTCTTATTTCTCGCGATGTAATTTTGATTTTTAGTTTAAGTGTGTTGGTGGGTGAGGGTTAATGAACAATAGAATTGCTATTACATATAAACAGGCAAATGAGGTTGGCTCATACCGACATGGTAATTTATGTAATACTGTATGTTTCACATAACCATGCTACCAAGCCACAAATCGTAACCACGTATATCGAGGTGAGTAATTACAAGTCAGCCATGTGACCTTGAGCTGTACTTGTGCCATATCCATGTACTTCAAGATGGACCATGACAAATCAGCTGCACAACGAGGGGTATACGCTTCCTTAAAGTTTTTTTTTTTTTTTTTTTCTTACTCGTCAAACAAATTTTATTCAGAACCAAAAACAAGACCACCTAGAGGTGAGACCCTCCCAGCAGCCAACAGCCACCAAACAATTTTTTTTTCTTTTTCCCTCAAATCTTTTTCCCACTTGGACCAGTGTACTAATTACATGATGATTCCTTTTGACACAGTTCTCAAGATAGTAGGACTTTGGAGTAGGCCACAGATAGAGATATGTGGACAGCTTTTCCAATAAGGTCGGCTACAAGCTCCTACCATGGTGAGGAAAGATTGTTTGCAATAAGTGATGTTAAGAACAATGATAGGGAACGCCTCGAAAACTCCTGGAATCATACGTGGCTAGTCCATGCCAGCCTCTTGAAAAGAAAAAGAAAAAAAAGAAAAGAAAAGGAGTCCTTCTTATGCAACTGCACATCTGCACTTTCTGATACCTTAAGCAACTCCACATTCTCTCTCTATCCTCTCTCCGGGCATACCCAACACTCAAATTTCTGGCTATTTCTCTCTCTACCTCTTGCACTCCCTCACCACATCCACACTTTACTCACAGAATTTTACATTCACCCTTTACTAGCAGAATTTTACTTTTGGGCAAAAATTAGGGTTTGAGAGAGATGTGAATGTTGTGAACTGTAATGATGGGTACTCTGTGTGTTTCACTGAACCCTAGGGTTTTTGGGACTCTCATGAACCAGGTGGTCTCCGCACCGACAATGGCGTCGCTGGCAATCGGAGACCTAAGTCGAGAGAACTTGCCTCTATGTACGTGTCTTTTACTTCAATAACTTCAACAACTTCGTCCTTGGCCATCTCTTCCAATTCTTCTTCTTCGAGGTGGCTAATCACGTTTTGGCCTACTACGTCGTTCAAATCCGGCGAGCTTTCAGCAGCGAACAAGCTATTGAGCACTACGACAAGGAGTTTGTGGGTTTCATTTCAAGGAGAGTTGTTTTCACTTTCTGTTAGTAAAGTGAAGCCGGTGAATAATTTGAGTAATGTGAGGAAAGGTACGCCAGAGAGGAAGAAGCCGGTGATGGCGATGAGGGATCAGACGGCGAGTTTGGATTGTAATGATGAGAAGAAGAAATTGGGTAGACGTGGGACTTTTTTGTTTTTCAAAGAATCTGATGTGGCCAAGCCACGTAAGATTCGGGGAGTTTTTGTGTGTTGCGTTCCCTTGGGGCCCCTTTGGAGAAGTTCCATGAGAATCAATAGCATTGTCTCTCTGCAGCTGGATCAACCTGGATATGGATGATTCTTCATAATCGCAGTTTGAACTCATGTCTCTTCATAGATGCCCTCAGCCATTGTGACTTTGTGGGTACCAATTCAGACTTTAGAAGCATAACATATTAACCATTAATGTACAAACACTAACTGATGATGAGCAACGCGAGCACGAATTAGCTCTTACACCTACTACTTCTTCTCCGTCGGTCCTTTTAACATAACGCTCTAGATTAAGAGGTCCTGATACCTACACTGGGTTCAACTGTTGCTATGCGCAAAAATGTGTAACAAAAATACGGTTGTAATAAATTCCAAAATGAAAAGGTGAAGTATTAGAAAAACAATTGAAGCAAAAGAATGAGTAAAAGCAATAGTGTTGTACCAACGGGCCAGTGGAATAGTGGTATCAGGCTTTTACTTCTCAAATGAAAGTCAATGGTTCAAGTCTTAGTGGAGACATGTGTGTGTGAGTGTACTATTTAAATTTAGTTGTGATGCCATACTAGTGGCTGACTTTTGTTTTTGTATATCGTGTATTATATGCTCATCGAAAGACGGATGAGATTACAAAACCTCAATGAAGACAAATATTTCAGGTTAATCATTGCAATTTAGTACGACCGAAACTATAAATAACTTTAAGAATCTGACTTCTCAAGAAAAAGAATACAAGTTACTGGAGAAAATTCCATGATAATCATTGGGAATTTTATGTTTAAAGGAGAAAGGAAATAAAAATTCTCAAACTTGTAAATTTCAAAGTGTTTAGAAGGTTTCTTCTTCAGCTTGGAGGCCCAAATCCACCAAGTGATTTCTGAAGTTTGGTTTTGGAGTTCTCTTAATGTGGTCAAGGTGTTGATTTTTTTGGACCCTTTGAGGGTCTAAAGTCCCTATTTCGCCTTTTGTGGGATGCATTACCTTTTTGAACGCTTTTAATACAATATTTACTTATAAAAATAAAAAATAAAAATTGGCTCTGTAAGACCTTATGGTTTTATATATGAAGTTGTTTGACAGCAACTGGTGTGTGCAGGTACGGAGGCTTTCAGTGTATCTATAATACTAGGATGGTGGAGGGATAGAGGTTTCTGGGTCTCCCACGGAAAAAGCTATCCTTCATTGGGGTATCAAGTTATCCTTCTTTTTAGTATTTTAGTGTTTACTTCTTCTTCTTCTTATTTTATTTATTTATTTTTGGACTGGAATTGATTGATATTGTTATTTTTTGTGTTGCAGTTAGGGATGAAGTTTGATGCTATGAGATCAGAATCTACACTTTTCCATTTTTCTCCTTTTAATTCCGAGGAAAACTGGGGCGGTGTCGCAATGAAACAGGTAATTGATTCATTTTGTGATTTTAATGCTTTTACTTTGGTGATTTCTGAAGACTGTTGACGACTTTTTTTGTCTGCATCTGAAGATCTTAAAATCTGATTACTTAGACCTTATAGAGTTAATTATTTGTTGTACACATATAGTAGTTATAAGATTGTGATGAAGCAATAAGGAGTACCATCTTAGAAAGTTAATGGTGAGAACCTTGTCTCACCATGTCTGTTGAAACACACTGGTTTAGATATCTGTAAGACAATAATTAGTTTTAGAATTGGAAACGTCTACACAGAAGTTCCACCCCCCCAACCCCCGCCCCCCCCCAACACCCCCTTTTATCGGGTTGGGGAAAGGAAGATGCTGGTTTGTTTTAGATTGGAACATGATGTCTGCATGTAAGGAAACTTTTGAGTAATATTTACAAAAGGTTTTTAAGCGTACCGATGGAATGAAGCGTTGAAGCATTTAGTCAGTGACTGTTGTGTAAGAGTTGATTTGGATGAAAATGATAGCTCAAATGATACCAATTTTGTAAATATTTGCTTGAATACCTTTTTGTTGTGGATGTAAGGACATATTGATTTGATCAATGCCACATTACAGGGATGAAATTCTGTCAATTTTGTATAATGGCCTATATTAGTTGGATTTCTTGTGTTGCTTAAATGGATAAACTTTAGATATTTTTTATTTTTATTCAGATGTTTTCATTTACATGAGTTACATTAAAGTAAATTGGTGCTATTACGAGCTCTTAATTGATCATGAAATTCAATGGCTCATGCCTGTTGCTTTAAATTAGAAAAGAATGACTATCAGATGGAGTACTTGAAAATACACCCGAGTAGATTATTAGTTAAATTAAAAATTGAGAAGGGAAAACATATTTTTAGGTGTAGTCAGTTAGCTCTTGGGCAGATTTGGTTGCAGCTCCATAGAATGCATGTGCTTTCTGGATTGGATCTAGCCTTGAAATATGTAAACCTGGTCCTGTTGATCAGGGCTTCAGTTTTCATGTGAGGCTGGGTTAGACTCCCCTTGCCAAGTTATTCGCGAAGCCACATCGGCAAATAGGTAGCTGCTCGTACTGCATAACTTCCAGGATTGCATGTAGTAAGCAAGGAGCCTTCCTAGATATTTTTTAATTTTAATTGTACACAGCTGACAAACGAGTACTTAACAACGGACTCTAACAGCTTGCCAAGTTATTCACGAAGCCACATTGGCAATAGCTAGCTGCCCGTACTGCATTACTTCTAGGATTGCATGTAGTAAGCAAGGAGCCTTCCTATATATTTTTTACTTTTAATTGTACACAACTGACAAACAAGTACTTTAGCAACGAACTCTTAACAGCTTGCTTCGCCTAGGTTATTTTGTAGTTTGTACACTGATATAGTTGGGTACTTCCACAGCTCTGTGTAACTATTGCTGTATATTTTTATCAGAAAGTTTAGAAGAGGTTAGAAGACCGACATCCATCTACATTTTTTGTAGTATTCCCCCCCCCCCCCCCCCCGGGGATTTCTCTTTATGGTTCACCTCGTGTTTCATTTGTTCTCGCAATGGTGATCTTGAACCTAGAATGTGATTCTTATCTTTGTAAATGATTCACATTATTGTGCATTATTTTGCACACACAGGCTACTCATACTGGTGCCTTCCATGACAAGTGTTAAATCTAAAATTTAAGGCAAATATATGATGTTGAAAGTCTGTCAGGAAGCAATTTCAGGGAGGGAATGAAAACAGTGTATAATTCAATTGACAATTTCTGATTACAGTGTGGATGCATCAATTTCCGTTGTATAATGAATTTAGTATATTTGAACCATACTCTAATTGACAATTTTGGTAATGTTTAGACCTCTTGTAATGAACTTTGTATTTCTGAATTCTGGATTCTCAAATGAAGCATCTCACATTTTTTTGAATGTGCAACCTTTTTGAAAGTAAAGTTTTTATTTATATTTATTTTCTTGGTCTTATGATTAAGTAGATCATCCTAAATTCAACTGACCCTAAAATAAATATGCTCTTAAGCCAGATTTGCTCATCAACGCATTATCCCAACTTCCAACTGGTAGGGGTTGGTTTGTTTTGCAGATAAAATTTATGCTTGGTTCGGTTTTATAAGAATAGTTTTCTTCAGATTTTTTGAAAATTAAAACTATTAAAAAATATGTATTTGGTTCATAGTTTCTTTTAACATCCTTTTTTAATGACATTTTTCTTTCTTTTCTTTTCTTTATTAATTTATTTATTTTTATATACTTTCCCACAAAGTATATAAAAATACGGAGTATTATTACACGCACAAGAGCAAGTACCATGCTACTATGCTAGTTCACTTGCATTAATTACCAACATTAGTCCCTTCGAGACTCAGTTTGGTTGGAGGGTAAAGGATGAAAAAGAAGGAAAAGAAAAGAAAGGAAATGGAGGGAAATGAAATAGTGTGGTTGGTATAGTTTTTTAAAGGAATAGAAAGGAAACAAAGAGGAATGTTAGTTTTGTAGTCTCCCCAAAATGAGAGGAAATGGAAGGAAAGATTAACATTTTTAATGAAACTTTATTAATACTAAATTTGTCTTTTTTTTTTTTTTTTTTTTTTTTAATAAAAGACAAAATATATGAAAAAAAGGTATGATAGTAAATTTATTTAAAAAGGTATGAAAGGTCTCAAGATGCAAAAACACATAAAAACCTTTTAACTCTAATTAAAAACAAAATGGTCAGGAAACTCGGTAAGGTAAAAACATTAATAATAACGCTAATAATAAATAAATAAAAATAAAAAGTTAAACTAGCACACTCCTACTAAATAAATAGAATGCTAGTTTAACTGAATGCAGAGAGTCACAATCCTACTAAAACACAAACTAGCTTATAGGAAAGAGAAAGCAAGTTATAACTAAACCAATGAAAAAGAGAAACAAATATAACAGTAATGATGTAACTAAGACAGCAATGGTTGCTGCTCAGTCCTCCTCTTCCTCCACCAGTACTTGTGCTTGATTCTTCGGCACACAAGGATACAATTTATGCAGGTGAAGTAGAGTAGATATAGAGCACATATGATAACAAAGACAGTGACTATCACGTGCCTTACCAATTGAAATGTTGACATGCGGGGAAGGGTTACTACTTCTTCTCTCTTGTTGTCCCTCACCAAATACCAAATGATCCCACCACTCATGCATGCAAACACAAATGCTTTCACCAATGGAGCTCCGTCGTCGGCTTTATCGTCGTCATCATCTTCCATACAAGTTGTCTCCCTCTTCTTTTGCATTTTTACATATCACTCCAAAATTCGCAATCGCGATATCAGTCGCTCTAGAGCTAGTCTAGAGCAACAAACAATATATATAGAAACTCTAAAAAAAATAAATTTCACTTCTTTGTACTCGTTTATTTCTCTCCATTCTATTTTTCTTCTCTTGAATATCCAGATAGAGAGAGAGAAAATCAATCAAGTTAGAAGTAGAACGAATATTCATGTATATGTTGGATGATTTAACTAATTCTATCCATTTAGGTAGTGCAAATCTACAATTCAAAGTTAAGCGTCGAAGTCTATCTAACAAATTTTATTCGTACAATACTATGTCGTGTGGGCCTCTATATGTGTATTCAGGCGTTGAAATCAAAGTCGTGTTGAAATTCAAGTGATATTCAAATGGGCTTATTTTGTATGGGCCGGTTTCTAGAGTATGTATTTAGGTGTTCAAATCCAATGCCGACTTAAATTTCAGGGTACGAGACTCATCGTGTGAAGTTTTGTTATGTTTGTTAGAGAGATTATATTTTAACCAATTCAAGATGACAAATGGGTTCTTTTGCTTTATTATTTATTTATATATCAATTTTGGCAAAGATTAAGTTTCCATGTGATTTACTCTTCTCATCAATCCAGTAAAGGGGATCAAGAAATCAACAAATGCTCTTTAAAGAGCTTGAACTTTCAAGCTTCCATTTGGAAAAGAAAAATTATATCATTCTGACAAATGGCATAGGGGCAGTCACTATATCATTTTACCTTTCAAGAAAAAAAAAATAATAATAAAAAAATAAAGGAAACAATTAATATATCATTATATAATTGATCATTTGTAACTTCTATTAGACAACTATAAAAAAATTAAATTTGCTCTGAGCAACCAATATATATATATATATATAAATAACTAGTTGCACAAAAACAAGGAAATATGGGTCCCTTAGATTGGCACCTTCTCTCTGGATGATTTGTTATTTTTCACTGCATATTCCTTGCCCAGAAAATGTGAAATAAATCAATGTGTTAGTACAATAGTCGTAACTCTAGAACTACCACATTTCAAACCTAATAAAAAATAGGGAGAGGCATTTCTCTCTCAAGTATTACTGCTACATTTTATATAAATTGGTATAATGCTCAATGGCATGATGTATAAAATATACCATTCTGCATTTTTGTATTCAATCATTTAGAATTAAAACATAAAAGTTTCATGGTGCTATCTACAGAATCATTTGACGGCATAAACGATCAGGCTCGGCATTTGAATACAAGTTCAATAACACATTTGCTATGCCCAGAAATGAAATGAATATGAAGGGGACACTAGCTCAATTATGAAATATTTTGGTTGCCTCAGAAACCCATGAAAGAAGGTTACATACAATCTCTTTTATCTTAAAAAAAAATTGGGCACCATGAAGCTAACAAGGAAAAACAGTCATTTTCGTGCAAGAAATCAATAGAACAAAATGGAAGAGGAAGGCCGGGATGCATTCTGATGTATTATAACAACACAAACTTATTTTCCAATTGTCATACTCTACATGCGATCTTCTTTAATTGCTTCACCTTCTTAAAATCTGGAGCATGGTAATTCTTCTCCACCTCCCAGGCTCGTTGGGACATGCAATTAAAAGATGATTTTGCCCCCTTCTCATCCATTACTTCTCTAGGGAAAGGAATTCTGACCTCAAATATACCATTTTGGGGACAGCTAAGACGCATGTCAAAGCCTAACCGATCAACCCAAACCATCTTTGCCTCCGTCACCTGCCAAGCCAAACGGAACCCAATAAACCACCAAATGAATAGTTGAAATCGAACTTTTAAATCGGTTATCCAAACTTGTCACACTTTCTAAAGAGCTCATAGACACAGACACAGCCAAGTTAAGATGGATAAAGAATAGAAACAGAATAGGAATCAAACAACAGAGGAAAGGAGCAAATTTTCATCATAAATTATTGTAACAAAGGAAAATACAGAGATCAATAACCAAGAAACCCCGCATATCAGTCTATGGTGATGTTAAAATTTCTCTCTCCTACAAAATGATTTAAACAATATTTTAACTATTTTCTGTTACCCTCTTTCTTTACAAGAGGTTAACCGTTTATTCTTCAATATAAGTTAAACTATAGTCCAGAAAAGGCAACAATATGGTAAATAGGAATGAGAGATTTAAGCATCCTCTGCATTGACGTCAAAATTCAACCACTCCTCTCCTATGATTGACCATTGATATATGTAATGAGTGCTTATTTAGCTCAAACTTTGACAATTCATTCTCCTACTTAGGATCAATAAAATGGTTTCTCCTATCACACTCCATGAGTATCAGAAGCGGTATCATACATTTAGATACTTCTAGTGGTATACCCAATTTTAATTAAGATGTTATATCTTTCAGCTATGCAAAGAATGGATCTTAAGCATGATTTATTCTTTCAAATAAGTGTTACTTAAAACACGCATCTGTTAGTAAGTTAAAACATTTGTGCATGCGCATGTGTGCAAGCCCCATCACTAATCCCCATATTGTAGGAATAACCGAAAATAGGAATGAAGAAAAAAAAAAAAAAAGGTACTGCATGCCTACCTGAAAATCCAGATCAACATATATGTTGCAGAAGCGATGAATATCTTCTATGTTATGAATGTTTATCTCATTAACAATCTTTTCTGCAAAGTCTCGGAGTGGATCTGGGTTTGCCATTCTATAATCTGACGAAGTGACCCATATGCCATCCTGATAAAGTTCATAATCAGGATTACACTAACAAATTAATCAATAAGACCCAAATAGTTCTCTACATAAACACCAAAAAAGAAGTAGTTATCATTATGACAAATAGCAGACTCAAATGCTCAAAAGAATTAAACATGTCAAATTATGCTAAAAACAGTGAATGACCACACCTCCTTAAAATCTTCAATCTGAAGTACCCGTTCCACAGCAACAACATAAATAAGGTCTTCGTCCACTTCTTCTTCAAACTTCTTTTTCCATATCGAATGAAGTTTCTGTCAGAAGGAGAAAGAGGCTTAAAAATGAAGATCAGAATTTAGATTAAACATTCTTCAATCAATGCAATAATAAATAGCAATACACCCATTAATTTGATTTCTATGAATTCTATTGGGTTTACAATATATAAAAAATAAAATAAAATAAACATACATAGTGTAACGTAGCTATTCAACTACATAGTTTTGTCCAAATGTTCCAGGCTATAACTACAAGTGGTTGGACTATTTGGCAATCAAGTATGATTTCCGTTTGTTAATACATGTAAAATTGACACAATGTGCCATTAATGACACATAACCAAAACTTCACAAACATCAATGAACCAAATATGGCAGGTTGTCTCCCCAGCATTACACTCAAAAATGAACTTAACTGCAATTCATAAAGTAGATTTATGAAGGCATGGAAGGATCACAATATCTTTAATAATGTTAAGTGTCCCTTCATATTTTCAATCCAACACTGATATTAAATTAACTAATTTTGCATAAAGAATACACAAGAAGACCACCAAAAAACTAAAAGCACCAGATGTCAGTCTAAGCTGATCACCAAACAACACTTAAAGAGTGATAATAGGAAAAGAAGAGAGGGACAAAACTCACTATATACCAGCAATGAGAGTTCCACAATGAAATAGTATGTCAACCTAGCCACCATGTATGTAGTTAGTGATGCAAGGAAATTTTTTTTTAACACATAGCCACATCATTGTTGGTGACATGTTGAAAGAGTCTATATGGTATGAACAAAATCCCTTTCATGATTTAAAGAAATATACACCATTTGCAGTTTATTAATCAATGGACTTCAGTGATAAATCTATATTATAATAAACCAAGTGAAAATGGATGGATGAGTGGCCTTGGGTGTGATGAAATATAAATTGAAAGACTGCTTATCTAGAAGGCTGTGAAATAATCCCAAACCACAAATTTTAGTTTTTTTTTTTTTTTTTTTTTTTACATTTTAGTACATGTTACAAGAAGAGAACATGGCTGAAATTTCAAAACATCAGGACCTTGAGGTATGACAAGCTTTTATCAAAGAAATGGATCGGAAGTTTGTGTCGAAATACAGACGGCAAAAACCATTAGCAAATTTTTACCATAAATTTGATTTTGTTATTTAAGGTTGCTCAGAGACTTATATGACAACTCTATTGAAACAAAGCATTCAAGAAAATGCATTATGTAGCACAGTGATAAATTGACATTGGCAATGATATGGTTGCAATGATCCAAGGGACCGATTACTAAAATGGAATATCCACCAAAAGATTCACATATCTCCACAGTAGTCAATTTCATACTCCCAAGTCTGTGAATTCCAGAACCAATAAGTAAATGAAAGAATTGACAATATATAATGGAAGGGCAGAAACAAATCTGTTTATTTAATTTGACATAATTAGACAAGGCCTTGTTGAATTAGGTTGAACTGAAATTTGTAGTGATTATTAGCTAAAATTCAAATTCAGTTCAAGAAATTCACAGTGTCCCGAATGCAGAAAACCCAGTTCCCATTAAGTAAAAGCTAGCCAGACTCAAAAATTAAAAGCTAGTCAGAATCAAAATGTCAGGTGCAATCCAATTACTGAATTAACCAGCATTCCTCTAACACAGCAGTTATAACAGGTTAATCAAGTTGTGTTTGAATTTCCAAAATTTAAAAATATGAATCTTACATTTAAAACCATTCTGTCTCCTGGTTTGTCAAGGTTACCTTGAATGGTGCACTGCGGAGTCCGCAACCCACATTGCTCTAACTGATAAACAAATCACAATTGCAATATATCATCTTTTCATCTTCATAAGCATAAGCACACATATAGAAAGTGACACATATAAATATAACCTGTTAGATTATTAAACAATTAACATAACAAAGACTGAAATTTTCAACGAATTGAATCATGTAGCAGGTAAGTACCTGGACATGGAGGCTAGACCTCCTGTCGATAGAGAATTGCCTATTTGAGACATTCAAGCACAAGACTGGAGTGCCGTCGCTGTCGACGGCGAAGCGGACACCGATACCAAGAGGCCAACCATCTTGCGTCAACGTAGAAAGAGTGGCCACAGAGGACAACTCCATGATTGTTCTTGAAACCTCAGCTGGGAATGGTTTATCATTGCTAGTCGACTTCAGCTGGGTAGGCTCTGAAACGACAGAAACTGAACATTTGAGAGGTTGTACCAAAGATTTGCGAAATGGGTATGGCTTTGAAATGTTGAATTGGGTTGTGATGGTGGGTTTAGAGAGAGAAAGTGGTGGTCTGGAGAAGTGGGCAGTGGGGAGGACTGAAGGTAGAAGATGGGTTGTGAGAGATTGGGTTTGTAAAACCATTTCACTTCACTGTGTGAGGTCAATCGCGCCTTCCAAGATTATTGCTTTGCGAGATAATCTGGGAAGAGGAGGGAGAGAGAGGGGAGAGAAGAGAGTTCGTAGAATTGGATCCGGCTCGCGCTGACCGTGGGTCCCACTTCTGCATCCAGCGGGCGGAAAGAGCGCCACGTCATCGCTCTGCGGATGTCTGATGAAGTGAAGATGCTAGAGCAAAACAACGTCGTTTTGCTCTAGGTCTTTTAAAACCCAGTCCAAAACGGCGCCGTGCTAGGTTTCTTCTAGAGCCTAGCACAGGTTCCTGACAACATATACACAAAAACCCTAAACCCTACCGTCTCTCTCTCCATACACACACATTCAAGAAACACTATATTCATAATCTATCACAATTTCACAATCTTTTTTTTTTGTTCTTTGAACCGATTTCGATTGGAGTGTAGAGGATGGCTCAGACAACGGAGGTGATTTTCCGCCTTTTAAAATTATATTGCTATTTGCCAAAGGAAAAAAAAAGTTCTGGTTTTTCTGTTTTTGAAATAGTAACGGATAGATATGTAGCAGAGTGATCTTTTTTTTCCTTTTCTTTTTTTAACTCCATGGTTTATTGCAGGGAGTATCTGAGACTGTGGAAGCAGTCCGGTTCAGTTTCATGACGGATGAAGAAGTGAAGAAGCATAGTGTTGTCAAGATTACAAACCCCAATTTGGTTGACAATATGAACAATCCAGTGCCTGGTGGGCTGTATGATCCGGCAATGGGTCCAATGCATGAACAGGCAGTGTAAGTTTCTAGCTTCTTGCATTCAAACTTGTTAACGACCTGATTGTTTATCTTTCTGTGTGAATCGAACATCTATCCGTTGGCATCCTATGCTTGTAGCTACTTAATTATTAAATTTATCAACAATGATCAGTATCCTGATGGAAACCATTAAGTAAAGGAAGGAGGGAAACTGTTTTGTTGTATGATGGTGTACTAAAGGTATAATTAAAATGTTGATGGAATGGATATAAATTTTTTATTTAGTGACAGATGAATTCATTTTGCTTGGGTTCCGTAGAGGATATATTTTGATAAATCTATTTTTCGGCTGTGGTATGTGCTTTGTGAGATTTTGCCTGTCGTGTATGTATTTTAGTGTTACCACCAAAGGGCTGTAGCCTAGTGGTACTTCCTCATCTTTCAAATTAGAAGGTTGAGGGTTCAAGTCTCCATAGGGGCAAAATGGGTGTGTGAGTTTCAACTAGGGAAAAAAAAAGGTACCTTAGTGTTGCCACTAGTTAATGCAACTTATACATATTTGATTTGCCTATGGATGTTGCGGGTTGTGATTCTCTGCCCTATTTTTTTGTTGGGTTGTGTTACCTGATAAGATTCTAGCACTGAATAATTGATTTTTGAGATATAGGCAAAGGTTGCTTTGTGGTCCCATAGTTGGGAAAAAGAGAAAATTTCACTCTTGGAGAACGGTATTCTAAAGTGTTGAATATTCTGTGCTTATGTTCTGACATGTGTTTAATATAATTATTTTTGTATCTGTGCAGTTGTACTTCATGTAGTCAGCGTTTGCTTATTTGCCCAGGTCATTGTGGTCATATTGACCTTGTTGAACTGGTCTACAATCCCTTACTATTTAATATTCTTCACAAACTTCTACAACGAACCTGTCACTCATGTAAGCATTTTAAGGCGGGCAAATTTGAGGTAATTATATTTTATTGGGGCTTTTATTTAGGTATCATCATGGGCATTGTGCTCCAGTCCTATTTTTGCGTTTGTTGTTGACGTTTATCTGGTTCTATTATATTTCCACTACTGACAACCTTTTTTCATGGTTTCTTGCACATTAAAGGTTGAAAAATGTGCTTCTCAATTGGAACTCATAGCGATAGGTGACATTATTGGGGCCAAAAGGTTGGATTCAATCTTAGATTTGGAGGATAGTGATGAGAACCATATTCCATTTCCTACAGTTCATTTTGGTGACAGAAATATCAGCTCTAAGCAGTTGAAGCAAGATTGGACCTCTCTTCAACTAACTGAAGCAATGTCTGTTCTTGATAGATTCCTGAAGCTAAATTCTGTAAAATGTGTGAATTGTGAGGCCATGAATCCTACAATCGTTAAGCCTACTTTCGGATGGTTTCATCTGGTAATCTGCTAATGACACCTATTGTATTGATTGATGTCAGATGGCTATCCATTATAATGTGTTTACATAGTATGCAACTCTTTGTCTGTCAATTCTTTTAACTCCATAATACCCTTGCAAAATGGAAAATGAAGTCTTTGAGAAGCTAGGTTTTCACTTTAATCTTTAACCTTAATGGTCTTCTCTGATTCAAGGAATGAACAGCAAACGAAATGTTTTAAGACAGCTTTATGATATGCTGAAACCTTTATGATAATAAGTTTACAAGGGTATGAAGTTCTTGCATGCTCAAAAGGTGAAAAAAAGGACTGTTCAAAAGTAAAAATCTTAGAATTTTTATATAATATCTTTATTTTGGTTGAATATCTGTGTGAAAATGAAATCATGTCATCATGCTTGATAATAATCATTATTTTTTTATTTTTCTTTTTTGTTTCTGTTATTACTTGTTGTGGGTCTTATAAATCATGTCGTTATGCTAGCTGATAGTTCCACTTCTAACCCACTATTTGATGTGAGTTCTCTGTAGTTTTTCTGCCATATTAAACTTCTTGTGGTGTTTAATTTAATTACTTTCCTTGTTTCCTATTTAATGCCTGTAGCAAACGGATAGTGAGCGAGCTAAACAAAACATTATTAGAGGTTGCGAATTGGGAAGACAAGATAGTGGTGGAGCTGAGGAGAATCCTTCCTCTGAGGTGGTAAATGCTAACAATTTTCCTTTGGAAGATGGTACTGACACTGCTGAAATCAATTCATTTAACGATTTTATGACAAAACGGAATTGGCACAAAGAGGGGCTTGTGCCTTTGGAATTTGTTGAGCTTAAGAAGAAGAAGAAGAAGAAGAAGATCTATTCACGAACTTTCTTGCCAACTGAAGTATGTCATCAAATATATATTTCATGGTCATCTTGAGTGTCTTGTATAACATCTTTGTTTGTTGTCTTGCATGTGAACCTCAGCTAATATGACCTCTCAACCTATATTGTTTTGGAAATGCATTCAGAATCTTCATTTGTTGCAAATCACAGGCTAGAGATCTTATGGAGGGATTGTGGGAAAAAGAGGCCCGCCTTTGCTCATTTATATGTGATTTTCAGCGGGAGCGATTTGATACGTCTGGCAAGATCTCTGGCCATGCGATGTTTTTTTTGAATACTATTCTTGTGCCCCCAATCAAATTCCGCCCTGCTTCCAAGGGAGCTGTATCTGTAAGTATTCTGTAAGCATGTTATTATATCATGTTATTTATAGAAGAGAATTGGTGTATGTTACTTACAAAACGTTATGTGATTGGTGCAGTTCATAATCTTGCACAGTTGCACCCTTTTCTGTTTTCTTGAGAAACCATGATGTTCTGTCAGTGTTGGACTAGCTGTAGACAAATTCTTGTTTGACAGCAACTCAATTATTTTCTTCACTGGAGTAAATTTGTAATCTAGCTGAACAAGCAAAAGACGGTTTACTTTGCAATTCATAATTAGAAGATTTTGATATTCACATAAATCCTATTCTTCTGAACTTTTGGACAGGAGAAAGGGAAAACATCTCCTTACTGATACTTGCAGCTAATATCTTCTTATTTGACTATTAATACGCGTCACACAAAAACAGTGTACTAAACTACAAGCGCAACAAATATCTTCTCTCTCATTCTGATTCTTATCTTGCTAATTCACAGTTCTCTTTTCTATTTTTCTACTTCACGTAAGCATGAAACTGTATGTAGTGCCAAAATGGCGCACCAAAAATTTTCCAATTAGGTATGTTCCGTAATGTTCTAATTGGTTATGAAGAAAACAACAAGGCCACTAAGTATACACACAAATTTGGAGGTACGTAGGCTTTTTGAGTCAGATTATCTATTGTGAGGTCATCTACTGCCTATGTAGAGCACGACTGTCTATGTAGAGAAAGCCACTTTAAAAGGGCCTCTTTTGTGCCCTATAGCATTCAATGGAGAGCATGATGGCTCCTCACTAGTCAACACGCTATTTGGATTTCACCTCGAACCACATGTTCCTTTTTTTTTGATAAGTACCTCGAACCACATGTTCCTTGTGGCTACCCAAGTTAAAAAAACCTTCTTCACCCTAGTGTGGGTAGCATATATTACAAGAAAAGCATTTGTTGACTCAGTTTCCTAGTTCTGCATTGCCTACTAGACCCGGGATACCAAATCATCCCTTCTTCATTCACTTGAAGGTACAAGAGCCTCCACTACAATTGTAAACAAAACTGGTTAGTTCTTACCATACCAAAATTTCATCATCTGCCACTATTCTCTTTGAACTTAGTGTGTTTGGAAGACTCCTCCCACCCTCCTAATATATTTCCAAGGACCTGACTCTTACATCAAATGCACTTCATGGGGATTCAATCACCTTTACCACCTTCATACTTAGTTGATACAACCCTTCGACACAGGCTATTTTTGAGGCCTTCATAGTCCAAATGCCTCTCTAAGGGAAGCCTAGGACCCTCCCCTGGTCAAAGCCTCATAAAATGATTGGAGCAAAAGACATGTTTAGCCACCTTCTTAATTTAATGTGCAGGGGAATTGCGGGCTCTTCTCTCCGTGTTGGGTGTTGTTTGGATGATGACAGTGATGGTAGTGGATATGTTAAAGGGTTGGAGAGGGTGCTGTCAAAGGCAGGGCGTTAAATAACGTAGCTGTCGTTCACCTAATGTGGTGCATTTGGTGAAAATATAACAAATACTATCTCTATTGAGTTTCTGTATACTTCTTGCGAGATATGTTATTGCTAATTTGTGGAATTGTATAACCCCATATGTGCATAGGTTGCTTCCCCAGTTGGCATTCTCTCTGAATTTGTACTTGTAAAATAAAGTAGTTCCTTCTTCTGGAATTGGATGTAGTTTAAATCTCTTGTGACTTTTTGAATATTATGATCAACTTCTATTTCTTATCCTGCATAAAAGTTGGAAGTTGGAGCTAATGTAGATGTATTATCAACTTCTATTTTTTTTTTGTACTTAATGGATCATGGTTGTGGTTTTAAAAGTTCTTTAGTTGATGATGTTATTTAGATTTTGTAGTTTGTTATTTCTTTCAGGTGATGGAACATCCTCATACTGTTTTGTTAGGCAAAGTGATCCAGTCCAATATTGCTTTGGGGAATGCTTTTGATAACAAACTAAAGTCCAAAACCGTTGGTCGCTGGATGGATCTTCAAAATTCTGTAAATGTGTTGTTTGACAGCAAGACTGGCATGGGTGAGTTTGCTCATTGTGTTCGTGTTTGTTACTTCATTGTCTCTTTAACTATCTGCGACCCAGTTATTCTCTATTTATTTATATTCTTCTGTGGTCACCTATATCTCTAATTCTCTACTACAACTTTTATTTCAGTCAATATAGTAGCTTCTCGGATGCCATCTCACAAAGCCAACATTGCAACTTCAATTGGCCCCCTCTTCCCCCCCACGTTACCCCACCCCCCACCCAACACGGATGCAGAGACGCACACATGCTCTTAGGATTAGAAAAGCTACACATAATTTGGACCACAGCTTTCTTTGAAGTTGTATTTTTATTCTCAATTTAGTTTGAGTACCAAGTTAATATATTTAATTAAACTTGAATTTTCCATATGATAAAGTGATCTAAAGAGAGAATGGTAATTCCATCACTAGAATAGGAATATCAGTGTAAAGTGGCTGTCAAGATAAAGATGGAAAGTTATCCTTTGAAATCATAACAATTGAAGCCTGATAACTTCCCTCCACATTTCCACGAAATTTCACCCTTAACTTTAGCCATAGCAAACCACGAGTGTTGTCAGATGAGTCTTCAAGTCAGGTTAGGTCATATCCCCATGACTTTTGCTAGTTAAGTTCCAGAGATAATGTGACCAAACAAGCTTATCTTACTACTACTGGAATGGTAAGCAGCAGAACATGTGAAGAAAAGAAAATTATTGACCATACTTCTATTGACCTGGTCATAACACATGGGTGCATGTGCTCTATGGGTTTCTTTGCTGATGCATATCATTGGTAATTAACTTTCTGTGAGCTGTTGACTGGCCCAACCTTTCCCAAATCACCTTTGGGGACACTTTGTCATATTGGATTAATTTAGTGAAGCGAGAGGTGATAGTGGAGTTTTAGTATGAGTAAGAATAAGTGATTTGAAGCATGAATCTGCACAGGAATCCAAGTCAAATATATTCTATGGATGCAAAGCGGTTGAAGTATAAACTATTGCATATCTCCTGATTCCAATCTGATACAACACGACCATTTCCCGTTTTTGGAATCTTGAGTTAGCAACCAATAATGCAACTCCAAACTGTGGATGGAGATGGAGTTGTACACTCAGGAGGATTATAGAGGTGTGCGCAGAGGAGTCATGCAGAGGAATCGGTTAAAGAGTTGACAAAGTCACTTTTTGATCAATTTTTAGTTTTGGCGTTTGGGGAGAAATTTATTTCTCTCGATTCTTATTTAGTTTCTACGGTGATGTGGGTTTATGGTTTCGAATCCTTGAGGAACTCTTTCTGTTTGGAATTTTGTCTTTGCTTTTGATTTTCGTATAGTTCATGTGATGTGTGTGCATGGATTGCGAGCGTTGGCACTTTTCGTGAATCTCTTTAGTTTTAAGAAAAAGTCAAAAGGTCAGGTAAGCGTGGGAAAATATCATATGGTACTTTAAACTTTCCAAGAAAAGAAGAAATAGAGAGCTCAAACTTGTGTTGCAATTATAGTTTGGCTTTATTAACAATTTTAAGGTGAAGTTGCATTTTTGTAAGCATCAAAATCGGGGGTTAAAGCAATTTGAAATGGGCTCAAACCTTATTTTCTTGTGGACCACTATTGACGATAATCATACAATAAGAAAATAGTGAAGCAAACAGATATGAATAGATATGAACAGAAGTCTTCTTGTAACAGTAAGAAAGACTAGGGTTACTCCAACCACCATTGGAGCCTAGATTTCTAAAGGGAAATCTAGCAAAGCCCAAAGAGAAGTTTAAAATCTGATAATATCTCAAAAGTATTTTTATAAAGACTTGGTTACAACAGATAATAGGGCTGTCCCTTTAATAGGACAACTATTAATGACACCTGACTTTTTTCTAGATTGACTTTTCAACTACCAACAAAGGATTAATAGCAGTTTTTACTATTCCCACGACATCTTCAGTTTCCCATACAACAGTTACTACTTTATAAACTTTGACTACACTTTTCAAGACATTATTGATTGCATCAATCCTTCCTCCTTAGAAGAAACTCGTCCCCGAGTTAAGTTCTATCATGGTATGCATACAGATGTGAAACATTGAATGTAGGATTAATAACCAAGTGATGAGGTAAATAATTTTTTTATATGCATTTTCTCCAACATGTGATTATGTGGTGTATTTTATTTGCCGATGATATTGTTTTAGTTGATGAGACTATAGAAGGAGTTAATGCCAAATTAGAGGTCTGGAGAGAAGCTTTAGAACTAAAGGGTATAAAATAAGTCAAAATAAAATTGAATATATGGAGTGTAACTATAGTAAATCTAGAAAGAAAAATGAAGATGCAGTGATGATTTTTTTTTCCTTTTTGATAAGGAGAAAATGTAGTGAGGATTGAGAATCAAGAGGTACAAAAAAGTGAAATGATCCTACTTTTTGTTGTTGAATTGATCCTACTTTTTGTTGATTTAGTAGAATGTTTATACAATATGAAAGGATATAAGAACTTAATTTTAATTCATATTCTCAATTAATGTGTCATTTTTTCTATTGTTGACTAGTTTGTGTTTCCATTTGAATTGGTTTAGTGGTAACCATATTTATCCAGCTTTCTATGGCACATATATCTTACTTCCATCAGACTGGTGCCACACCTAGTGCTTAGGCTCTTGGTTATCTTGGCAACTTAGCAAATTTTCAAACTTACTTCTCTTGTGTGGTCATGAACATTGTTGAATTAGTTAACACATGTAGCAGCTAAGCAATGGTTTTCTATACTTGATGGCAGGTCAAAAAGATGTTATTTCTGGAATATGTCAGTTGCTGGAGAAAAAGGAGGGCATCTTCCGCCAGAAAATGATGGGAAAGAGGGTTAATTATGCATGCCGCTCTGTTATATCACCAGATCCTTATTTGGCAGTTAATGAAATTGGGATTCCTCCATATTTTGCACTGAGGTTAACCTATCCAGAGGTACGTAAGACAAATTAAATTCATATATATATATTTTTATAATATAATAAAAGTGCTTACAAAAAATATTGCTTACTGTTGATAGAGATTCGAGGCTGCACATGCATAACATACTCAGGACACATAATTTCATTCAGGACGGAGTCAGAAAATTGTTTCAGGGGGTTAAATTGTACACTAAATACATATTTACGTAATAATGCGTATATATTTTAGTGACCAATCCTAAACAAAATTGTTAAAAAGTAACCTTAAAGTCAACAAAAGATATATAGTGACCAATTTTGAAACTTAATTGCTAACAAGTGACCATTTCATGATTTATTACGTAAATATCCTTATTAAATTTATACAACATTAGACCCAATTAAACAATTTTAAACATTGAACCTAATTAAACAATTTTGCCATCCGACAATCAGAGGGCACATTCTATCACGTCGGAGGATAAGATGAAGACGAAGAAGGAAGGGAACTAAGGAGGAGGTATATTTGAGTAGTATTCTGGTTGTTTAATCTTCTTCAAATTGAAGCATATGTGCCTTCTCTTGTTCTCTCACAACAATACATCAAACCGCGAATACAACTAATCATATAAATTTAAGTCTATAAACCTCTTCAGTGTGATTGATTTTACATGAGTAATATTTGTATTGATGCGGTACTTAATTATGTGCTTAGCATGTTTTTCCGATCATGGTGGAGGAGAGCTTTGAAAAAAAATAAGGTTAATAAAGAAAGTTTAATGGATAAGGTTATTAAAAAAAACCTTAATTTTTTAATTGGTTGGCTACAAATTAAAAAGGCAAAAAATAGAACAAGAGAGAGGAGAATGAAAAAATGAATCATGCAATATTGTAAAGAAGAAGAAAAATCATGCAATATTGTCATATAAAAATTATTTCTAGAATATTTAATAAACTAGTTAGTGTTCATTTTTTACCAAATTGCCCTAAAATGGTCACTTGTTAGCAATTAAGTTTCAAAATTGATGACTATTCATCTTTTCTTGAATTTAAGGTCACTTTTTAACAATTTTGTTTAGGATTGGTCACCAAAATCTAATTTTCCCTATAAATAAATTATTGTTATGGAGTATATATATAGAAAGAGATATAGGTGGATATGTATATATAGATTGATATTTTTGGGATGAGGTAAATTAATAAATTACTTATATAGAATGTAATGAAACAATTTAAGAAAACAATTTAAGGAAGCATATATTTAGGATGGAGAAATTTCGCCCCGGGGGGTGGGGGGGGTGGGGGCATTTTTACGCATATCCAAAAAATCTATACATATTATAGGAAAAAATATATACTCCCTCTATCCCAAAAAGAATGTCCATTTTTCCTTTTTGGGTTGTCCCAAAATGATTGTCCACTTTCCTTTTTCAAGCATTATATTTTACATCTTTCCATATATGTCCTTGGATTTTAAATTTTCAAACTTGAATATTCAAAACTTAAAAGGGCAAGTTAGTAACTTTTCAGGAGACAATACATGGCCCACATGTCCCCTTAAAAATTTATACTCTCCAAAAAGGACATTCTTTTTGGGACAGAGGGAGTATATAATATGGGAAGGAAAAAATCCAGGGGGGCATGTGCCCCCTGGTCCTATACTGCCTCCGTCCCTGATTTCATTCATGTAGATGCGATTATTTTCCCTCTTACACAATATGAATCCAATCATTTTACCTTATAAACATTCTCAAGCCTTGTTTATATACAATCAGCCCTCTAATATGTTCTTGCATTTGCCAATCAGCCCTCTATTAATTAATAATAATGGGGGTTGCAGATTGCAGATGCTATAAATTAATTGGATTACTACGTGTTGAAACTTTTCTACCTTCCCTTCTTCTTTTTAATTGTTAGATTTCTTAGTTTTTTAAACCAAAAATTGTTTCTTACGTATACTATCTCTTAAATTAGATTAAATCTACAATAGTAACTTAGTTAGACATTTGGATGATATGATTTAATTAACATATGGAAAACATTAAAAAATTTATGAAAGGTAATATTCAAAGTCAAAAAAATTGCTTTTGTTGAGATTGACCTTGATATGGTCTTTTGATGCAGTGCCACATGCCATGTTTTATTTCCTCAATAATTAGTTGCCAAGGTGGTGTTTTCAACAACCGTGGGAACTTCTTATGATTAGCAATTTTATTAGTGCAAAAAAATTCCTCTTAATTAGCGTTGTTTGCACAAGAAGGAAAGGAAGTTGATTTGTCTTGTCCTAATTTATATCATAGTGTGGTTAAGTGATCTATTGGTTGAGGCTCCCATTCGTTACATTACTTGTGGTTTTTGTATATTCCCAAATAACCATGTTGCAAATGTCAAAACTTTTATAAAATTTTCTTTATAGATAATAATTTTGGAATTTTTTTCCTCGTTGCTGTACCACGCCCTTCATCAAAACATACTTTGTGCATATACTACAAAAATATTAACCTAACTTTGTTCCTCATCCAAAACCAACCTTCCAAGCAAACAAATTCATGGGCCTAAGAACCTTGGTACTTTTCCCTCTGTAAAGCAAGTACTCAAAACCTTTTTGATAAGTACAAATAGAACCGAAAACCTCAGAATTGTGTAAGATGATTGTGCTAGCTTTTCTTTTTCTAGCAAATAGAAGTGAAAGCATTTGCTAGGTTGCAGCTTAATAGTTTTGGTTGGTACTATAAGATGAACGCTTTGTTTTTTTTGTTTTTTTTGGGGGGTGGGGGAGGGGGAGGTTGTGATAGGTAAGCAGCACACTCACTTTTTACCCCAAGTGGGGCTTGAATTTTCAACCTCCCCTTTGGAGAGGTGGAGGGGATACCAGTAAAGCAAAGGGCTTGGTGGTACACGCACACTCATGTGTGTATATATAATATGTTTTTGACAAGAAACATTTTAAGTAATCACCCTTTATGCCTTTCAAGATACCAAGGTATTATTAGAATATGCAGCTAAATTGTACCATAAGTAATCACAAAGCAGGAGGGTTGAATGAATGGCTTTCAGTAGTAGTGCAGATGATCCCTTTCTTATCAATTACAGAGGTGCAAATCTTTTGGATCCTGGAAAATGTTGATTTTAAAACTTGTTTTTGAAAGCCAGAAGCTCAACTCTAAACTTGTGTTTTTTGTGAATCCAAGCTCATCTATTTCAGTGTTTTAAATTGCTTGTCTCAGACATATATCTTTTCAATATTTCATACTTAGATATTATATTATGTTTGGTGTATGTGGTTTCCATGGCTTTCTCTTGGAATAACAATGCAAGGCAGGTTTTTCCTGTGTAAAATTAAAGCAAGATTTCATTATTTTGTCCTTTCATTGCTAACTTCATAATATGTTTTCAAAATTTTCTTAATATTCTTGCAGAGGGTGACTCCTTGGAATGTTAACAAATTGAGGGATGCCATCATTAATGGCTCTGAAATCCATCCTGGGGCTACACACTACGTTGATAACTTGTCTACTGTGAAGCTGACACCAAACAGAAAAATGCGTATGTCAATTTCTAGAAAATTACCTTCTTCAAGAGGTGTGGTTACGCAATCTGGGAAGACTGGTGACTATGAATTTGAGGGCAAAATTGTATATCGCCACTTGCAAGATGGAGATGTTGTGCTTGTCAATCGACAGGTACTGCAATTTCTTCTCTTGGCTGTATATCAATGTCACTTGTATAGTTGGATATGATGGTATGTGCAAATTTTTTTCGCTTTCACCTAATTTGATGAGAGTAACCAAATATTGTGAGGTGAGGCACTAGGAGCTGCTTATTTGTGCATAATTACTTAATGCTCCTCATATTACAGCAAACATCTCATTGGCAATTGTTGGAAATTGTGTCTCAAATTCCTATCTTAATTAGATTTCTATTTTAGAGTTGTATTATGTTAGGAAATTTCTTGTCAAGCAAGTCTTGGGCTTTAAGAAATTGTAATCCATGTCAAACAAGGAATTGGGTTTGGAACTCTATAAATAGGTACCTAGGTTATGGGTTGAGACTTATGAGATTGAGAGTGATGTAGTCTCATGAGGGAGTTGATGGGTAAAGGTAACATGTGGGTTGGTAGAGTAGGAAAAACACCAGTGGCATCGGTAGCGAGAAGATAGACTCGTGGAGTGGTACATGTTGAAAAGACATGTACGTGGTGTTGATACTCTATTATTGTAATATCTCTATAAATCATAATGGAATCTCTTCTCATCTGTGGATGTAAGCCGGTTTTGGCTAAACCACGTTATATCTTGTGTTTGTGTGTGATTGCTTTGTTAGTTTTCATTGTTGGATCTTTGTATTTGCGCGCTTCTACTGCCCCAACAAATTGGTATAGGAGCCGAAGGTGAAGGAGATCCAGAAAACACAAGGAGTCTCAACAGGTGCTGCAACGGGATTCAGTTGCAGGTGGAGTCAATCGGCTTGGTTAGTCACGATGATTAGAAAATCGTGGTGTGTTACATGGCATGGAGCTTGAGTAGTCAAAGTGGAGCCTTGGAGGTTTGATTGATCGAGAAGTGCAGTGTGGACAAATAGGAGGATCGTCAAGATTGAAGGTGCAATGAATTGTCTTGATCAATGTTGTGGAAATTGATGATTGACTGGATGGAATTTATTGTTGGAAATTGTGTCTCCCGAATAATATAGGACCGTTATTAGGCCAACTATGCTTTATGAAGCGGAGCGTTGGGCTTTAAAAAAAAAAACAAGCAACAATGTCTTCATGTAGTGGAAATGCGAATGGTAAGATGGATGGTTTGACTAGAAGAGATAGGGTCTCAAATGTAAGTGTAAGAGAAAAATAAGAGAGTAGACTTAAATGGTTTGGGCACATACACCGGAGACCTATAGATGCACCGGTGAGAAGAGGAAGTTTAATTTCCATTGAAGGTAAGAGACGGAGAGGGAGACCAAAATGGCTTCAAAAATTTAAACATAGTAGGACATATGGTGGGATGTAATTCATGTGGCTGGCCCTATTCATATGGGAATAACGCAAGGATGATGATGATGAGAGTATAGCACATCGACTGTTCCATCTTGGTTCTTTTAGATGATACTTTATCTATCAAAAAATGAAATTATCTCTATTGTTTCCAGGAAAGACACGCTTCGAGTCTGAAGAAGGAGGATCCTGCATCCCATTAAATCCTTTGCTTTAGATCTCTAACCATTCTAAAAATTGTCATTTAGAGGACAGTTGGAGCCAATCATCTTTGATAAAAACAAGCTGGTGGGAACTTTGATGTATCCCTGTAGTTTTTTTTTTTTTTACATTACTTTGGGAGAGTTCTTACCCTCTTATGTTTGTCCAAATTTTGGTTTTGGGCATTCTGTGATTTTGTATGAGTTTACCTAGAATATGAAGGTTAACGATTCAATAAGGACAATTCCATAGATAAATAGACGTAGGTTGAGGGTGGTAGTTGTGCAATGTGAATGTGGTTAATATATCAATTAGATGAGAGCTAGAGAAGGAAGAGAAGGGGGGGGGGGGGGGGGGGGGGGGGGGTGGGGCGCGGGGGTGTCTAGTTTACTCTTTTTGCCTGATTTTGAATTGATAATAAAATTTAAATGTGAGCACAATTACAAATGAAACAATTAAATATAAAAAATAGAGAAGGAAAGGCACTTCTTTTTTCCATGGAATAGCTCTTTGAAATAGCTCCCACTACTACTTGTCTTCAAAACCATGTGTCATTGCCTCCTCCGTGCCAGCAGCTGCAGAAAGGGGGCGGGGGGTGGCGCAGTGACCGACGTTGGGGTGTGAAAGCATAGGGAGCGATGCTTGTTTACTTTTAAATTTCGTAATATAAGTTATGCTTGTTACTTTTAAATTACTTAATATTAGGTTCTGTATAGTTTGTTTTGTTTGTTTGTTTGTTTTTTTTTTTTTTTTTTTTGTAAAGTAATATATTTTGTATCTTATTATAACACTGATTTCTTAGTTACCTTGAGGGTTCTGATTTAACTTGATAAATTTTTTATGGCAGCCTACACTTCACAAGCCAAGTATAATGGCACATGTAGTTCGTGTGTTGAAAGGAGAGAAAACTCTTCGCATGCATTATGCAAATTGCAGGTTAATTTTATGTTTACTTATTTTTTTCGTAGGTTATGTTTATACTTTTTAGTTGTTTAATCATGTTACATTTTGAGATTTACCTGACTAGCATATGCCCACAAATGATCTCACTTCAGTTCCTACAATGCTGATTTTGACGGTGATGAAATGAATGTTCATTTTCCTCAAGATGAAATTTCGCGTGCTGAAGCTTATAACATTGTAAATGCTAATAATCAGTACATTGTTCCAACAAGGGGAGACACTGTTAGAGGCTTGATTCAGGTATCATTATTTCAAATTTTCAGTTGTTAGAGGATTTCAATGTTAAAGTTATACCCTTTCTAACAACTTAAGCTCTTTGAGCATATGGTGGTTAACTTGGTATTAGAGTAGGCAACGTCCTGAGCTGTTACCCTGATAATTAAAATTGAACACATGTTGGACCAAAGGAAGGCCACATGTGAGGTAGCATGTTAGATGATTTAATTTTAAATTTATACCCTTTCTAATAGCTTAAGCTTTTAGAGTAGATGGTGGTTAGTATCATATGTTTTTGCCATAATGTTTATTATTAATCCATTATTTATTTATTTAATTGTCAGGATCACATTGTAAGTGCCGTGCTTCTTACAATGAAGGATACGTTCCTAACTTGCAACGATTTCAATCAGCTTCTCTACAGTTCTGGTGTGTTTGTTGCTCGGCCTGGTTCATTTGCTGGCAATCGTTGCCCAAAAATATCTGTAGTGAACTCTGAAGCCGTGGTGCAGCCAGTTTTGCCTGCTGTATGGAAGCCAATGCCACTTTGGACAGGGAAGCAGGTCATATATGATTTTTTTGGTCTTTGAAACAAAGTCTTGTGTGTTTAACTTTTGGAGTTTGAGAACCGGGGACACTGTTTTACATTTGGAAATGGATTTATTGTTTTATTATCTTCTGCTTTTGTTGTCTCTTTCTAGGTCATAACTGCAGTGCTGAATCATCTAACTAAAGGTTGCAAACCTTTTACTGTTGAACATGAGGGGAAGATCCCCAGTACATATTTTGCAAGTAAAACTGGTTTAAATCAATCGAGCGAAGATAAAGAAGAGAATTCTGAACATAAGTTGTTAATTTGGAAAAATGAGCTCATCCGTGGTGTGATTGACAAGGCACAGTTTGGCAAATATGGTTTGGTTCACATGGTGCAAGAGCTCTATGGCTCAAACACTGCAGGCATTTTGCTTTCTGCTCTCAGTCGCTTATTTACAGTATTTTTGCAGGTCAGCTTGCTTTTGTTCCTAATTTTCCTTCTCTTTGAAAATTCATTCTATGCGACCTGTTTGCTGGACGTAGTCTTTGTGTTCTATCATAACACATTTGTATCAGATCAATGGATTCACTTGTGGGGTAGATGACCTTATTATATCACCACATTACGACGTCCAAAGGAAGGATAAACTTGAAGGTGAAGATGTTGGTGAGGAGGTTCATTATCAGTTCGTTAACCTCACGCGTGATAAAATAGGTACGCATTTCTAAGATATGCTTTAATGTCAAAACTTTCTGAAAAAATCACATATCAAAATTGGGAAGTTTGGATACTCAAATTGTTGACTCAAAAGTTTCAAAAAGATTTTATTATCTACAGTTCACATTTGAAAAGTAATTTTTATTTTTATAAGGATTAGGAGTATGAGTTGAGACACTAAAATTGGTTTCAGGTTAATCTAGCATGTTGACAGTGTATGCTTTTAAGAGTGTATCTGAAATGATTGCGATAGATGAGGAATGACATGATTGCCATGGACCCTTAACAGAAGGATCCCCGTTACCTTCCCCAATTAGTTAGGATAAAGGTCTGAGGAATGACATGATTGCCATGGACCCTTAACAGAAGGATCCCCGTTACCTTCCCCAATTAGTTAGGATAAAGGTCTGTTTAGTTAATTTGATATAGATATAGGAATGAAAAATTGATTGGGTGAGCTATTTGATCAATTGGGTTTTTTTGCCAGAGGCTCCTGCTCGATCAAGCACATAGACTAGTATCAAACTTCACTTTATAGATCTCGAGAGATATGATTTTTGAATTTACGTGTTACTTTATGCTTTATGATTCAAGACTTCATTTGGTCTTTGGCAAATGGTGAACTGGTTCCGTAAGCAGTAGTAGTGTAAGAGTGCTTTAATCGAGCTATCTGATTTTTGTTGTGGGTAACTGGAGGTTTTTTGGTGTCCTTCATCTTTTGCCTCAATTTTGTCTACTTCGGGCTTTAGTAATAGTTCTTATTCGGTTCTGTTGTTTGATAGTCATGGGACTGCTTGTGTTGGCATGTATTTGTATATCTTCTAAGTTGTGATGTTCTACTGAGATTGAATTAGGTTATGCTCGTAATCTTTTTTTATCTAACTTTAGAAGTTATGTTCAAATTCTTCTTATTCCACTTAAATGGTGGATCCACATACCCTCCTGAACTTAAGAAGATAGCTGCGGAAATAGCCTTGTCCTCTAATTGTGTGTGTTGGTATAGCACCTTTAGCCACATATATACAACAAGAAGGCGAAGCCAAGGGAAGATGAATAAAATTTTATTTGGTGAAAATAACCTTTAGCTCCATGGTTATAGGAGAAAGAAGAATCAATGTTAGACGGCCTAGACAATTCTGATTTTGTAAGCCTTATTATGGACAATGCAAACATTGTACAACTTGAGCCTATTAAATTTCAACTCCTTTTGTGTATGAGGGACACGTTCCCCTTTTGAACGCCTTTTTATTCAATTGGAGGTTTCTCATTTGATGTTTGCAGATGACACTATTGTGTTTTGTGATGCGGATGCGTCCCAGCTGAGGTATTTGAGATGTGTTCTGATTTGGTTTCAAGTTGTTTCTGGCCTTAAGGTTAATGTTGGCAAGAGTCTTCTTGTGCCTGTTGGGGATGTTCCGGAGATTGAGTTGTTTGCTTAGATCCTTGGATGTTGCACTGGCTCTTTTCCCATTTCTTATTTAGGATTGCCTTTGGGTGCCCCTTCGAGATGTGTGGGGAGCTGGGATCCGGTTGTGGACAGATTCGAAAGGAGGTTGGCGGGTTGGAAAAAGCAGTACCTGTCCAAGGGGGGTTGGGTTACCCTGATTAAGAGCACCCTTTCTAGCCTTCCTACATACTTCTTATCTCTGTTTCAGATTCCTTCTTCAGTGGCTGAGAGAATTGAAAGATTGCAGTGAGAGTTCAAGTTTCACTTGGTTCGGTGGGATCAAGTGTGCCGTCCAATTCGGTTTGGAGGCTTAGGGTTTCGGAGGTTGTTGCCTTTTAATAAGGTTCTCCTTGGTAAATGGCTCTGGAGGTTTGAGATCGAGAGGCATTGGTTATGGGGGAAAGTTATTGCTAGCAAATTTGGAGAAAGTCGTGGTGGGTGGTGCTCTCTGGCAATGCGTGGTCCTAGGGGGGTGGGAGTTTGGCATTTCATTCTGAGGGGTTGGGATGACTTCTGCAAGCATGTTCGTTTTCGTATGAAAGATGGAAGGAGGATCAGTTTTTGAAAGGATCTCTGGTGTGGGGAACTCCCTCTTGCTCTCGCGTTCCCACGGCTTTATAGGATTGCTTCTCATCGACAGGCCATGGTTGTTGACTGTTATCATCTTGATAACGGGAGACTGTCTTGGGATGTTCAGTTCAGGAGGCATTTTCAGGATTGGGAAATCGAGGATGTTTCTCGTTTTCTGGAGCTGTTGTATAGCCAGGTGATTTCTTTTGGGGAATCGGATGGGTGGTTCTGGATTCCTAACTCACAAGGCCGTTTTGAGGTTAGGTCCTTTTTTAGATGCCTTTCGGTTGGTCATGGAGATCCCTTCCCTTGGAAGTCTATTTGGCGGTCCAAGGCTCCCCGCAAGGTCGCTTTTTTTGCTTGGACCTCTGTCCTGGGTAAGATTTTAACCCAGGATAATCTGAGGAGGAGGAATCAGGTGGTGGTCAATCACTGTTACATGTGTTTGTGTAATGAGGAATTTGTTGATCACCTCCTTTTACATTGCAGCATGGCAAGAGATTGTTGGGATTTGATGCTTAGATTATTTGGGGTCCATTGGGCCATGCCTTATTCCTCTAGAGGGTTGATTGAGGCTTGGAGAGGCGTCTCTGTTGGGGCTGGCATTAAGGACGCTTCGAGGGCTACGCCGCTTTGTATCTGGTGGTGTATTTGGCTTGAGAGAAATAGGAGATATTTTGACGGAAAAAAGAAGCCTGTTTCTATGCTTAAGTTCTCTGTTATTTCTACTCTTTTTTGTTAGGTTTCAGGGAGAGATTATAGATCTATGGAGGAAATTATTGTTTTCTTGGCCTCTCTGAAGGTCTAAAGCGCCCTTTGGCCCTTTTGTTTTCTTTTGTTTCTTTGGGCTTCGCTCCCCTTTTAAGCGTTTTTAATAAAATCTTACTTATCAAAAAAAAAAAATTATTGCTTATCAAAAAAAAAAATTCAACTCCTTTTGCTAGTCAATTTGGTTGTAGTGGTAATGGACTAGTAGTGCAAACATAAAACTTTTTGATAATAATGTTTGGGTTGGGATAAGTTATTTCTTATGACAAGCAACTGCAATTTTGGAAGCCAGAACTTCTGCACATGATAATCATGCTGGAAATCTTACATCTTATTATGGGAAGTTGAAATGTATGGATTTTTTTATGATAGAAGAAATTGAAGAGTCGCAAGCGCTTATAGGCATGAATGGATTGAAGGGATGTTCGCGTTTCTGAGTAGATAATGAAAATCATAGTAATGATGATTATCATATAGAACACTGTTTTTGAGAGCTTGGAGTTGGAGTCCGTCAGGGAATAATTCAAAATTATAAGTATTGTACCCTACCCTCATACTATCAACCAGCAGCATAATATTGTAAACCACCAATTCTTGTAATGCACTCTGAGTCTCATCACCATCCACCACCATATAGTAGCACTACGATGGTTACCATGTTTGATATTGGGGAACAATTCTAGTGGCACTATGGTAATGAGGGGTTTTAACGACTTCTCATGAACATGGATGGACATAATAAGGTCAAAATGATGATGATATGGCAATAGATGTGAGTCACTAGATCTTTATATGGTGATGATATGGCAATAAACTACATTCTACCGACAAATATTTAGCTGCAGTTTATGTTTCCTTTCTTTTTCTTTTTTCCCTTTTTTTTTTTTTTTTGGTAAAACACGTTTATTAGTTTTGGCTGCTTATTATATTCATGCTAGTTATGTTGTTAATGTAAAATGACATTTTTTTTTCCATTGGCAAGAAACACACTCACACACCCACTTTTGCCCCTATGGGGGCTTGAACCTAGACCTTCTACTTTGAAAGACATACCCTGCTTAAGTTGACTTAAAATCAGTGTGAAGTGCAGTATCATTTGCAGAACACATTTTTAGGTGTTTTAAATTGATTAAAAATGTAAATGGCATTGAAAAAGTGAGAAACTAGGGCCAAAATGAGCACAATGAGTTTAGGATGTTGTCTAGTAACAGCTACAGTAATTGATCCTGTTACACATTGACCAGTACTCAAGATACACGATACATTACACCATGACACAACCACTACAGCTGTTGATTTGTTTGGTAAGAATTTCCCTGATGATAGAATTTGGATTTTCCATTGTTTTTTGTAAGTAAAAAAACCACTTAGATTATTCAAAATTTCCCTTGTAAAATCTTCATGCCGATGATTGTTATTATGTTTGATGAATTTGTGATGTTTTCATCATTTATTTTGTTTTGCAGATGAAAAAAAACTCCAATTGGAAATAGAAAAGGCTATACGCCGTAATGGACAATCTGCCATAACAAGCTTGGATATGAAGATGAAAAGTAAACTCAGTGAGAAAGCTTCTGAGATCAACAAAGATTTGTTGCTTAAAGGACTTTTAAAACCATTCCCAAAGAACTGCATCTCTCTTATGACCATAAGTGGGGCTAAAGGTAGTACGGTAAGTTGCTTGAGTTCTGGTATGATATAAAATGCATTTGTACTATATTTGGGGATGAATTTTTTATTTTATATCTGGATTGTTGGGTTTGTGAACCATTGGGCTTTTTCAATCATTGGTGGGTTTTGGGTGTGTATGTAAGGGTCCTTGTCAGCTTGAGCATTATACACGTTCTACATAAGTTTTACGATTGATACATTAATGGAAGGATGGGAGAATTTTAAGAACTATTTGCAATAGTGTTTTTTGAGCCCAAATTTTGTTGCAATGGTATTTTTTGACTCCTTAGATTCTAGATTATTGGTGTACTTTATTTATTTCATGGTTTCATTGAGTTTTTTTAATTACCTCTAAATTTAATGCTTTTATAATTTATTTATTTTTAAGCATATTGTTCTTGGATCTGGATTTGTCCCGAGTGAATTACTGTATTGCTTTGCTGAGTTGTTCTGGTGCTTGCTGATATTGAGACCAAGAGTAGTAATACTTTATGCTGGTGTTCCTCCCTTGTTTAAAGATATTGTGGTTATTAATGATTCAAGTATTGTGAATGAATATGTGATGTCACGATCTTTTGCGGCTGCAAGTCAGAGTTTGTTGTGATGTGTTATTCCACCTGTATATGTCATATTATTTATCAGCTGAAGGTGAACATTTGCATATCACTCACTAAGTTTGTCGGGTTATACAATGCCTTTATGACTTTCTTGGTGTCTAATATTAAATTATATGAGACCCTATAACCAACATTCTCAAGTTCCTTTTAATTTTTGACATTTCGGTTCTAGTCTTCTAGACCTATCATTGAATTGGATGCTAATATATTAGGGAACAAGTTGAAATCTGAACTAATATTTTTATTTTGATTTGCTATTATGAACCTCTTTCTCAGACCATAAATAGTTTAGCATTGCCTGCTAATTGAATTGCTTTAAACAGGTTAATTTCCAACAAATTTCTTCTTTTCTGGGGCCACAAGAATTAGAAGGAAAAAGAGTGCCTCGAATGGTTTCTGGAAAGACCTTACCCTGCTTTGTTCCGTGGGATTTTGCCTCTCGAGCTGGAGGCTATATTACTGATCGCTTTCTTACCGGTCTTCGCCCTCAAGAATATTACTTCCATTGCATGGCCGGTCGTGAAGGGTAAAACAAATATTATTCTCCACTTTTTTCTTCTTCTTTTTTTTTTTTTTTTCTTTTTCTTTTTTTTTTTTTTTTTTTTTTTTTTTTTTTTTTTTTTTTTCTGTTACTCAATAACAAAAGAAGTAAAGAATAATTTCACAAAGCAAGAACACAAGGTTTACATAGCTCAACAAGTCACCAACGTTCACAGAGGTGAGGGACATCCAAATTACTATCCTGAAAAACCTTAAACTGAACAATGGAATATATTTTTTGTTAAACTAGAAATGTAAGAGGCAAATAATACCTCCATAGAACTAAAGCAAGATGGGTTAATTAGATAATTTTTGTTCTGGCATATTGACATTGTATGGTCAGCATATACTATTGACTTGAAAGATAAATTTAATAAAGCAACCATTATCTTTTCTTATTTTACCGTACACCCAACTCAACATCCGTACTTTGACCAATGGCGTATTGACATTGTATGGTCAGCGTATACCATTGACTTGAAAGATAAATTTGATGAAGCAACCATTAGACAAGGCATACTTAGACAGAATGGTGGGTGTCAAGGAACATTTTCATCAAATGAGGTTGGTCAAAGTACGGATGTTGAGTTGGGTGTATGGTAAAATAAGAAAAGATAAAATTTGATGGTGAAAGTAGCACCAATTGAAAATGAATGAAAGAGAATTGCCAACAATGGTTTGGTAGTGCAACAAATTCCAATAAATGTATCAGTGGTTTGGTAAAGACAAAATATGTGACTTCTAGTTACGGTCGGGCTTAAACAAGGATCGATATTAAGTCCTTGTATTTTTCTCCATGTTAGTGGATCAATTGACACATTCACAATGGGGTTCCATCATATGTGCTATTTGTAGATTATTATTGCATTGATGATGAATTAGTGTGTGGATAAATGTTCATAAAAAATTAATAATGTGTGGATAAATGCTAAATCAATAGTTTGGGACTATTCTTATAATTAAGAGGATTTAAGATTAGGAGTGAATTTGGATATACAGAATATAAATTAGGAGGCTAGAGCGAGAAGTTGCGATTGGTTGCTTATAAAATTAAAATGGGATTTTGAAGAAAAGTAATGCTTTTGGCATGGTGTATGGTCAATATATTCTTCTCAAGCTGAAATGTAACTTTTATTTAGTATTGTTTTTTACAAATAAAATTATCAGAGTAACCTTGCTTTATGGTGCGTAATATTGGATGCCTAAGAAAGAACACATCTAGGAATGTGTTGTAACTGTGTCGGAGACACTCCTAGACATGCGTCCGATATTTCATATAATTGTCCACAATTTTAAAATAGAATTTTATTATTTAGGACACTTAGTGGAACCATGCAAATACTTGGCCGATACATCTGGACTCTTGCTTCATTAATTGCTCTTTTTTTGTTGTCTCTGTTGTGAACCTTGTTTTAAATCTCTGAATCCCATATATGTTGTAAACTCTAGATTGATTTCACAAAGCTGTCTCTCTAAAAATATAGATTCTCAATAAAATTGTAGAGATCTAAAGATTCTGACTATAACCTAATATTTATAGTCGATATAAGAGTCATATTTAGAATAGGAATATAAATTCTTTTTGATAGTCTTTTTTGCGTGAGTTTTCGCACGGGTCGATCGATCGATCCTTCAATCAAGTGACTTGGCCAAGCTTCAATCAATTGAGTTTTTTTTATCAAGAGCTTCTACTCAGGATTTAATCGATCAAGTTATTTTTTACTTGAGTTCAAAATTTTCTGGGAATTGCTAGTTGATTGAGGTACTGCCCGAGCAACACTGTTTTTGTGAAATTCCCCATTTAAGAAATTTATTTAGTTCTTTGGGAAAAGCCATGATCGAAACCTATTTTACTACTTTTCTGGATGGAATGAAAAAATGAAGTTGACTCTTGCTTTTAGAACTTATAAAAATATGAAATCCCGACTTTGAAACAAATAAGATTCTGATATTTGATATTTTAGTCTGACTTATTTCTCAAACCATAGTAGTCTTTTAGTGGCATGTTTCAATTATCTCCCCCATTAAAATTCCAACGGAACAGTAGTACTAAGTGAAAAATCTGTTGTCAGAAGTTGTCCATACTACATGCCTTGACATGGTGTTCCTAAAGGTTGGAGAGATGCTCTTGTTATGTTTGGTTGCATATTGTAAATTCAAAGCTGTCTGAAGTAATTGAATTTCATAGATCCATCAAAACCTTTGTCTTGTTCTCATTTCTTCTCCATTGAGTCCTTGCCTTTTGTTTTTTCTTCCACTTCTATGGGCATGTTTGGTGTGCTCTGATCTTAAATTTAGGAAATATGTTTTTGTTAATTGTTAGTTCAGAAAGGTTATAAAAGTGTTATCATCTGATAACTTGACATTCATTCCTGTGATTTTATTTTTTGGAGCGATGCACCATGAGAACATGAAGTTTAATTTCCATAGAAGATAATAGACGGAGAGGACGACCTAAAATAACGTGGGATATAAAGTTATTTGAAATGCCTTTTAAAAGTTAAAAGTAGGTGATATGGCAGGTAATAGAAAAGGATGGAGACAGAGAATTCATGCCGACCCCATTCATATTGGAATAAGGCAAGGATGATGATGATGATGTTATGTTATTTAGTTATCTCACAAGATTTATCCGTTCCCCTTCTCATTCTTCGCGCGTATTGACAGTGAGGTTAGGATGGTGAGTCTGGAGAATATAGCGGGAGCTTTATGTTTTCAGAAAGAGGACGCTATCTCCTCTTGGGTTCAAGTTTCTTCTTCGCTAGGTGGTAGGTCAAGGTTTACCAACTTGGGGTCGTCCAGAGCCCCCCAAGCCCCCAATTTTTATGAAATAGAAGATGCTCATTGAATGATACAGAACTAATCTTCACTTATACAATTCTATATATTCAAGGATTGTACCTTTTGTTCTAGGGGAGAGAAGCCAGAGGACATGAAGGATTTGGAGGAATTCAAGAAATGAAGTACTGCTTGGGAAATCATAAAGTACTACCAGCTATATACATGGGGACATGTGAGCCAAAGAGAGAGAGAGAGAGAGAGATAAGGGAAAGGAAAAGGAAGAATAGAGCTTGTGGATTTAACATGGTGAAGAAGGTAACTAGTTGCAATAGGTGTCGACACTGAAGTAGAAATTTCATATAAAAAGGACATGCAACAATGGAGGAAAGCAAGGGAAATATAGTAGCTGAAGGCTTGATAAAAATTCATGGTACTAATTACGAGCGTAAAATTTCTCAAGGAAATGATAAATCTGGCCTAACTAATCCAATTGGTTGATGCTGCTGTCTGATTTGAAGGATGTATCCTGTATGAAGATATTGAGGAAAAAGCTTTTGCATGCCGTCTCTGTTAAAGGCAAAGCCTTGAATCAAGGAAAGCTCCATTCTCTTCATACAGTTACTGAGATCTTGTTTTGAGAGAGATTTTATGAAGTGCCTCTTCATTTCAAGTGGATCACAGTTTGTATTGAATACTCTAGATGAAAATTTTCAAAATGTTACAGTTTATGTGGATGGTGTTGTAATAACAGGTAACGATAGGGAAGAGGTGCACAAGGATGCGACTCATATGGCTAAATATGTTTAGATCAAATGTAGGGACTTGGAAAAGGCTTCATTGGGATTAATATGATTCCAACTGATGTAGTTTTTGGAAGTTGGAACATATAAGGATATCTACAATTACATGAAGTCTAGGACTAGAGATGCAGTAATGATGAGGATTTGAGCTGAAGAATAAGCCCCAGACCCCCATCTGACCACGGTTCCTCCAGAATATGATTGATTTTCCAACTACTTTCTTTACATCAAATTATTTCATTTTTTCTTCTGCATTCCATTCTGACTCACTCTTGAGCACCAAATGCCAAATGGAACACCATTCTTGCTAGAATCTTTACACAAGGGCCCCCATTCCTCGGGATTACTTTATCTAGCCTAAACACGTTTTAATCGTTGGACTAAACTTTTTGTCTCAATATTTGAACATTTTCTTTCAATATCTTGTACCTATGCACATTCCCTCTTGATTTTCTATAGCAATGAATGATAGAAAATGGGGATATTTGAGTGGCAGACCAGGATCTAGTTGTGCTACTTCCTCAAGTAATATGTGATACCCATCTAGTTTCATGAAGTTTATTAAACCAACAAGGTCCATACACGTGGTGCTAGTGTTTCTTTACCCACTATATACTTTTTGGCACTTCACTCTGGCCTATTAGAGTGGCTTCCTTATATTCTAACTCAATGGTTAGTGCAAATGAATGCTAAATTGTGATATTAACAGAAAGTTCTGAAATGATTTGAGAAAGAAATAGTACAAACATCCGATCCTTGAGACACTACTGAAACAATATTCTCATGATACCCTCGATTTTTGCAACACTGCAATGATTGCTTGTGCACTTTATTTGATCTGTTTGCCCGCAGGGCCAAATGGGTTCATGAGTTTCTTTCCAATGAAAAAATAAAATAAAAAAAATGATGTATTTCATATTGAGAATTATGCCAAAGTTATGAATTTATGACTTCACTTTGCTGCCAGTTATAATTTATCATTTAAATAATCGTATTTGCTTCATTATTTCAATGTTATATTCCGAGTGAGTCTTATGACTCTAGTTTAACACTCCTGTTTTGGTTCTTAGGGATTTTATTGTACTGATTCCTCTTGAGAGTAATTAGAGGTTTGTTAGCTGTCTATTGTGCCTTATTGGTTAATTCTCTTGTTTAGGTTAGTTGATACGGCAGTCAAAACATCTCGTAGTGGATACCTGCAAAGGTGCTTGATAAAAAATCTGGAGTGCCTGAAAGTTTGTTATGATCATACCGTTCGTGATGCAGATGGTTCCATCATTCAATTTTGTTATGGAGAAGATGGTGTAGATGTACATCAAACAAGCTTTATTACAAGATTTAAAGCACTGGCAGAAGTAAGTACTTTAATCCTGCTTTATTGAATTTGAATTCTTGAACAAAAATAATTACTTATTGTATATGTCTTTATATTTATTGATTTTCAGAATCAAGATATCATTTCCGAAAATTTTCAACATCAGCTTGAATTCAATACCTATATTAAGGAGTTGCCCGACGGGCTCAAAAAGAAAGCGGTAAAATTTGTTGATAAGTTACCAATGGAAGAGAGAATTTCTTTAAAACTAGAGAGGCAAGAGGATTTCTTGAAGTTGATGAAGCAAAAGTACCTCTTAAGTCTTGCACAGTCAGGAGAACCAGTGGGTGTGATTGCTGCTCAATCTGTAGGTGAACCGTCGACACAGATGACGTAAGATATTCTTTTCCTTGATCGTTTCTTCTCTCAGTAAATGCTGTCATTATCTTATATCTTGTAAACCATGTTTTGCCTACAAAGATGGTTGTCTATTTTGCCAAATTGGTTTTTTTTTGGCAATGATGCATTTGCAGGGGTAGCAAGTTTATTTCCCTGCTAATTTGGGCTGTTTACTAGATATCAGTGATCTTTCTTAAATGGTTTTAATATTAAATGTTCCCATTTGGAGGAAATAGATTCAGAATTTAAAACAATTTTGAACTTTGAAAGTAATTTGTTTTAGCATTTCCAAATGGCCCTCAGGGTATTATAGCATAATTTAGGCAAACAAAAGCCTGGTATATTGGCAAGAAGTTTGACCTGAAGCTACCATTTAACCATTATCGAAAGCTGTAGAACCAACCAACCACCATGAGAAGGCCAAGGACTGATGCAAACTGCACTCTCCTCAATCCTCACCCCATCAGACTCCATTAATAGATGGGTGAGTGGCCTATCTGAAACCTCACTAATAGGGCAAATTTATCTCACACAAATATTCCTCCTCCTGAAAGCTTCTTAAAGTAGTAGGAAATCATAGCTTTCCAATATATAACTGGAATTCAGAAGGCATACAATTTCCGTACTAGGTACCACAAATTGCCATTTGATACTACCTCCGCTGCAAGGCAATTGGCGTGCTCCCAACCTATAAACAATTGTTTTCAATAAAAACCTGAATTACTATATTGCCAGATAACAAATCATTGAGCTCATTCTGGTTGGGACAAACAAATCTTGCATACCATATGTGCTCAGTAAAGATCTTGAATATGTTCCTCTCCATGTATGAAATGCATAATAGAGCTTGAATCTCGTAGAGGATGGATCAGCCCATTAAATGGGATATGTATATTGAAAGTAGGAAGTACAAGAATTGGAAGATCGTCCTTCATCTTATGGACTAAATCTTTTCCTTCACCAAATGCTACTTTGACAAGGGACCTCCAACTTAGAAAGAATTTGATGGGAAGCACTTGCTGAACTTGGGAAAGTTGAATTCCATCACCAAATGTTGTCACGAACCATCTGGCTTTGTAGATAATTTCCGCTTTGCACACTCTCCGTGCTCACGGTTTTAAAAACGTGTCTACACAGTTCGGAGATGTCCACACGTAAAAGTGCCACCAATCTCTTTCCCCCTAGGCGATGTGAGATTAATGTAAGTGCAAAGCAAACAATATCTACTCAATAGGGCGGGTCGTGACAGTTGGTATTAGAGCCAATCCAAAGCCAGAAATGGGGGAGTGTATACAAGCCCATGAGGGTCAAGCCAAAGAGGACACTGGATTTCAAGAGGGGCTATTGTGTCGTCCCCGCCCGGGGGGGGGGGGGGGGGGTGGGGGTGTGGGTGGTTCTCATAACTGTGTGAATGCTTTTTGATAACCTTGAGCACAAAGAGTGCAAAGCGGACAAAATCTACACAGTGGGGCGGTTTGTGACAAATGCCCATTCAACTTATTTGATTCTCACTAATAAAATCCATAATCCATTCTTGTTCCTTTCAATTGGCAAGCCATTAGAGTTGGTGAGTGCAAAACTAACCTCAAGGCATTATTCACACAAGTGGCTTCTTAGCAAGTGATGTTTGATTGGAAAAATAAAAATAAAAAATCCATGTATTCAATCCTTATCTACTCTTAAATAAAAGCATATATTTCTTTTCAAGAGAATGGGTTTTCAATCCTCTTTCACTTGACATTGTCGAAACTATTCCTATAGAGTTAACCTTGTTGCATTGATAGTCAAGGAATATTAATTTTGACATTAATTGAATGGGCAACCATCAATTACTATGTGGATTAATATGCACCTTCCAACTTGGAGAAGTAAGTTACATCTCCAACTTTGAGGTTTCAATCTAATTTAAGGAAGGCAGACACTTCTACGAAGGTACCGTGTCCGACGCTGGACATTTCTGGACATGTCTTAACACTTCATGGCCGTGTCCAAAATGACAAATAATTTTATTGTTTCGGACACTTGACCAACACAACTTATACAAAACAAACACACTATGGCCTGGACACAATATTATGAACATACACCAAAGTGTTGAACTTCTTTTTCTTTAAAAATTTGATGTTAAACACGTCTCAGTATGTAATGCATAACTATAATGACATGATTGGAGAGTAATGTGATATATATATATATATATATATTGTATTCGAATAGCCTCATCTTTTAACTTCTTCTTTTTTTCATAATTGGTGTTGTATTATAAAAGATCAAGAATTCCAGGTGCACAGAGGGCATACCCTCAGAGAAATAAGCGACAATGAAATGAAAAAGAAAAAGTGAAAAGGCCCATTTTCAATACCAGCCAAAAGCCAAAACAATCAAAAAACTACAAGAGATCCTGAATTGAGACTCAGTGCACATCAAGTACTTCAAATATCATTTGTCAAGCAAGTACTTCAGGAGCTCTAGTTGCAGCCCCATGAAGCCTAGCATTCCTCTCCTGCCATATACCCCAAATGATAGCAATAAAAAGAGCACTATGAAACTTGGAGCTATGGTACATGTGACCAAACCATGCAATTAAATCCCAAAAACTTTGAACCTCTGCAAAAAGAACATCATCCGATCCAAGTAGGTCACCAACCCACTGCCATATTGATCTAGCAAATGTACATAACAGGAATAGGTGATCTCTAGTATCCACATCAAGATGACAGATAGGACATCTAGCTGCCAACATAACTTTCCTCCGCTGAAGATTCACCATAGAAGGCAGCCTATCCAGCATCACAAATAAAATTTGACATAACTTTAATATAAAAATTGTAAATTAATTAAAATTCTATAATTATCTTAGTCAATAGATTTATATATGAAAATTTATATTTATATTAGTTGTGTCCATAGAATTTGACATGTTGGCTTATCCGTGTCGTATCGCGTCCATGTTTCTTAGGTAGTACTTTGGATTATATCCCTTCGGAGCGCCAATTGCTATGTAGATTTTGTGGGGACTAAGTTGTGGAGACTGGTGTAACCTTTTTTTTTTTTTTTTTTGGTGGGGGGGGGGGGGGGGGGGGGCGGCGGGAGGGGTGTTGTGGTTGGGGAACTCGTTTGCAAAAAGAAAGTAGAAGCTCAATCATTTTATCAACTTTTACCAAACTGCAACAACTTTACGGAACATGTTTTCTACCTTGTTTTTGTTTTTACAAGTAAAAACACACAGCAAAAGCGGTTGCCAAGCAGTCCCTAAGTTGTTGCGACTAGTTGTTTTCCCTTTATCAAGTTCCTTTAATCCTATTGATACATTGTACATGCAATGGCCGAGCTTTTACTATTGCACCAAGTACCTCTTGTCGTGATGCAATATTTTCTTGCCAGGACCTGCAACAAAAGCACCTTGGAAATGTGGTCCAATTGGTATTAAACAGTTTGATAGGGTTTTTCAGATAATTTCGTTGGAATGTTGTAGAGACCAATGATGAGACCTGTTTCTGAAATTAGTAGCTTCCTCTCCTGCCCAACCCTAACAGATAATTGAAAAAAGAAAAAAGAAAAAAGAAAAAGGGCTCTTGGAGATTGACATGACTGCCACCCTTTGTATGTAGTTTGGAAACCTTTTCTAGACCTGCCATTGTTGATGTGGGTCTGGATATAAAGTCCATTTTTCTGTAGGGGTTGAGTGGTACTAGGGCCATTGCTCGGTGCAGTGGTAAGAGCTTGGACTGCCATGTGCGTTAACGCAGGTTTGTGCCTGAGAGTATATAGACTTTTTTGGTATCTATGCTTTTGAATGGCATATGCTACACATCTTCCAATTTCTTTCCCTTAAGTGGTCTATGATTACATTTCATGTTTAGTACTTGTAATCCCATGTATTTGTATATATTTCATGTTTAAATATGCTTCTGCATATTAGTTATGAAGATAATATCAATTTTTTTGTGAACATGCAATTTGTTCACCTTCCTATCGGTTCCACAATGTGAGTCACCTCCTAGTTTGTCGCAATGAATTTGTTGGATTTTGAGATTTTCACTTAATAGTTCAATTGCTTTGTACTATTTTTAGTTTTTTATTCCCTCCCCCCGACCGCGGTGGTTAAAGTTTGAGTTGTATTTGTCTTTATGATGGATGTTCCTTTCCTTATAACTAAGAATGACATTTCTTTCTTTTTTTCAGACTAAACACTTTCCATCTTGCTGGCCGTGGAGAAATGAATGTGACACTTGGTATACCACGTCTGCAGGAGATCTTGATGACTGCTTCAAATGATATTAAGACTCCTATTATGACATGTCCTTTTCTAGAATTGAGGTCAAAGTAAGTTGCTTACAATTCATCATGTGTACCATTGCCTACAATTCATTTTGTGTGCCTTTTTTTTTTTGTTTATTAGCCCAGTATGCTACCATTAAGCAGGTTAGAAGTTCCTTTTGCATTCCTTTGTTGGATGGTATTTGAAGGTGACACAGCATGTTATGTTGATGTATAAGTTGTTTCTCAAAAAATAAATAATATGAAGTAAAAATGCCAGTGCTACCGCAGGATTGATGTGAACAACATTGGTTGAGGTCTGTAAGTGGACAAGCTTGCCAATGAAGAACTATAAATATGTACAAGGATTAAATAGAGATATTTGTACTAAGTTACGTAAAAGAAGTTTTTAGAGCAGACAACCTTCCACCTACATAGTTTTCCCAGGCTTTTTTCTTTTTTCCCTTGTTTTCTAAGGCTCCATTTGGTTAGATGGAAATAGCATTAAAAAATAAAAATAAAAATTTTTAGGAGTTTGGGTTGCAGGAAAATGAAAATAGCGAGGGAAAGCAACTTTCTATAACCACCTAAGTTTCTCATTATTTTTTCTACGAAGACATTGAAAATTTTCGCTTTCTTGAGAAAGTTATGTGAACTTACAATTATTCCCTTTTTTCTCTTAAATAAAATGCGTTCTTGCATAACTTTTGATAAGAATAAGAAAATGATTTATATCTTCTCTGAACGTTCTAAAAAATTAGGTAATACTTTCCCACAACATTCCGAGGGAAAAAAAATGCTAACCAAGTGTATGCTAGAAAATTGATTTTCTTATCGTTCATTACTTTCACTTTCCACTATTAATTTCTATCTGACCAAATGGACCCTAAGAGAGAAAGGGCAGCTATCTTTTGTTCCAGTGGCTAACCTCTTTATTATTTAGTCTTAAAATAGAGCAATGACCTGCTGAGTGTTAGTTGTTCCATGGTGGGAAGTGGGAACCCTTGGTAACTTGCATTATCATTGATTTATCTTCAATCTGAACATTTCAGTGGGCAATAAGGTTGCAACATCTCTGAAATTAATTTTTTGATTGGCTAAGATCACCTGTGGCCTCTTTTCCTGATTATGTTATATGTGATTGTCGATTTTTGTTTGACATACATGCATCTATGTCCCTCTTTCTTTCACAAGCGCGCTCATGCACACGCACATCACCCCTCACAGACATTCATGCTCAACAATTTTTTTCATACATTTTTCGTGCAGGGGTGATGCTAAGTGCCTTGTGGATAAAATGAAGAAGGTAACAGTTGCTGACGTGATGGAAACTATGGAAGTACATGTTTTGCCATTATCCGTTAACAATGGCGAAGTCTGTAGAATTTATAAGCTGACAATAAAGCTATCCAAACCTAAACTCATATCATTAGGAGACTGTGTGGAGACCTTGGAAGAGACCCTGGAAGTTATTTTCTTGAGGGAGCTAGAGGACGGGATACAAAATCATCTGGTTTTGCTCTCCAAAATTAGCGGCATCAAGGACTCAGATGAAGATGCTTCTGGCAGCAGATCACGAGGAGAAGGAAGTGGTAATGATGGTGATGGTGATGGTGATGGTGGTGGTGGTGGTGGTGGTGGTGGTGGTGGTGGTGGCGATGGTGATGGTGATGATGACGACGATGGAGATGGTGATGAAAAGGCTGATGAGGATCTAGGTTTGGATGCACATAAAAGAAAAGAACAAGCTACAGATGAGATGGATTATGAGGATGGATCTGATGAAGAAGAGGCATCAGCTGAGCTTGAGAAAGAAATTAGGGATGATGATGAAATTGGGGCTGGAAGTGAAATTAAGGATGATGATGAAATTGGGGCTGAAAGTGAAATTAGGGATGATGATGAAATTGGGGCTGGAATTGAAATTAGGGATGATGATGAAATTGGGGCAAATGAATCCTCCGAAATGTCATACAAGGATGACGTTCTCTCGAAGCCTAAATCAATGGACAGGAAAACCAAATCAAAAGACAAAAAGAATAAGGTTAAGGTGAAACTAGCCCCAAAAAAAACTGATAAAAATATTTTCGTGGAAGCTAAAGGATTGCACTTCGAGGTCCACTTCAAATTTACCCATCAACCTCATATTTTGCTGGCTCAGGTAATCTAGAATTGTCTATTTTGCCTTTTTTTTCATTAGTTGTGCATTTTTTTCATTTACCAATGGCACGTATGATTTGCCTCTCTGTTCTTTTTCCCCCCCTGAACGTTTTGCAAGAATTGTAATTATATTGCAGATTGCTGAGAAGGCTGCCAAGAAAGTTCAAATCAAGAGCTCTGGGAAGATTGATCTGTGTCAATTGATTAAATATGATAAAAACGAACAAGTGATTTGGAAGGAGGATGAGGAACAAAATACATTGGCTATAAAATTGGAGAACATGAAAGTTTCTAGTGTTCAGGAATTGCAGACAGACATCAAAGATCCCAATGCTACGTCACTACAGGCAGAAAAGACAGACCAAGATAATCAGGCACAGCGGACAGATGCAGATATTCCCGCCCCTTGGGCACTGAAGACAGCTGGAGTGGATTTCTGGGCATTTTGGGAAATGCCAGAAAATCTCGATATCAGCCGTATTTACTCCAACAACATCCATGCGATGCTAAATACGTTTGGAGTAGAAGCTGCCAGGGCAACCATCATAAGGGAGGTGAAACATGTTTTTGGGATTTATGGCGTAGAAGTTGATTACCGGCACCTTAGCCTAATTGCCGACTACATGACCCACTCGGGTGGGTACCAGCCGATGAGCAGACACGGGGGCATAGCAAAATCAACATCGCCTTTTCTAAAGATGTCTTTTGAGACAGCTTCCAAATTCATTGTTGAAGCAGCATATCATGGGATGTCTGATACCTTGGAGACACCGTCTGCTAGGATCTGCCTTGGCTTGCCGGCAAAGGTTGGTACTGGCTGTTTTGACTTGATGCAGAAATTGGAAATCTGATGTACAGAATTATAAATTTATAACTTAATGTAAAATGTTATTGTTATTTGAGTAATTAGTATGCTGTTTCTACTTTGAATTGTTTGGGAAATGGGAATCTTTTTCAACTGTAACATGTACAAGTCAATCAATTTTAATTTATTTTTTTAGTATAATAGTAAGAAATAGAAGTTGCGAGGAGGTGAAGTAGTGTCAAAATTAACTCTCTCCGTACTTTTCTTTTGAATATTTCACAATACTACACCTTCAGTACAGGATGGAAGTCATTGATGGTAGCAAATTAATCAACCCTGTGTATGGAACATTTAATTGTAGCAATATATTGAGGTCATATAATACCATGCGTTCAGATTTTTAGCTTAAACCATCACTAAATTTAACGTTAAGATATAAAACCATATAATATGATTGACTAGTTCTTCATGCTCAAGAGCGGTTATTTATTTACCATTTACTGTTGTTAGCACAATGTTTTTCGAACTAGAAGAGTTGGGTTGTGGGCTCAATTTCCTCAGTTTGGATTCTTTTCAAAGTATAGATATGCTAATATCAAAAGATGAAATGACCATCTTGGACATGCCAAGGACAATGGTGTCAAAGTTCAAAGCCCAAATCGAAAATCTTTAAATAGTTGGAATGGTTTAACATAAGCATAGATAGATTTTAAATATCAAGTGTCTATCTGTAAAGAATTCAATTTAGGATAACTTAGAAATCCAAATTCCTTTAAATAAATAAAAAGGTCTATCATGAGGGTAAACGTCATTGCAAGTGTCCTTTTTTACGAGTAATTATTTAATATCTCGGTGTATGAGAAAAATAGTACCCTGGCCAATATTAATTTATAATTTCTTACTGTCGAAGGAAAGATGGTGTTTTTATTGGCGAGAATATTACATAACTGTTACCCTTTGGGTAATCGTAAGTGGATGGTCTTGCTGTTCTCGGGATGTGAATATTTTTTCTTTTTTCTTTTTTTACCCCTAAATTCTACAAATTTCTTACTGTTAATCAAGTAATTCAAGAGGACACTCGTTTATTCATCGATAACGTAATGGTCCACACATTTGATTGTTAGCTTAGAAGTATCTATTATGGTCCACAAGTTGAGGTCTGTACCGAGAGGGTATGAACCAACTCAATGCAATAGGACACACTTAGACTTGCACTGTCTTGATGCTATATATCTTAATTAATTTCTCATTCGCAAAAACAAGGTAGCACATGGCAACTAGCCATCTCAACATCCATGGTTACATGAACTACAATTCAACTTCTCCAATGAGATATATATACACATATATATAGATGGGAATATATATATAGAGAGAGAGAGATGGAAGCTGAACATCCACAAAAGCCAAACAGGATTTGCATTTGTCACATTCCTTTCATGTTTTGGGGCAAAGATCCAAAAATATTATATCCGTACAAAGTGAATTGAAGTCCAAAAGATCAATTAGCTCTCCCCCACTAACACAACCGACACATGTAAATAAAGCAATGTTTTTCTGAAAAATAAAATAAAGCAATGTTTACAAAATTCAACAATGCCTTCATCTCTTAAATGAATATTATGTCAAGATTTTAATAGAGAATTTAACTATTATTATCTTATTTTTCCATCTTCATTCATTAGCTGATAGGGTTTAAGTGATAGGGTTTAAGTGATATAATATTAATATGGTCATAGATGTTAGGAATTTAGAACAATAATTGGGCAATATGAGACACTATTGTGGTTCTTGTTAATTGAGGGTTTAAGAAAGAGTGCTTGTGGATTATGATCCCCCATTAATCGAAGGAGGAATTAGGAATAATACATATTTTTTTAACAAAAGTTATTTTTAGTAATACAAAAAAATAATATAAAAGAAAGAAATATTAAATTTTACGTGTTCCACCTAAAATTAAAAATGTCGACCGAGTCAAAGAAATTTCACTTTATATATATATATATATATATATATATATATATTTTTCACAACAGCAGGCATGCAAAGGGGTGGATGTCACATGAAAGAGAAGTAGTAACAGGTGGTTAGGTAGTCGTGTCAACTAGATTTACATTGTGGCTTTCTCATGATATGTATATACGGTAGGTGTGAAAAGTTTTTTAAGTTGGTAGCAGTGACATTTCAGTATTATATGTGAGTTTGGTTATTTATTTAAATTTCAACAAATCAACTCTGGGCCCATCTACCTTTTTTTTTTTTTAATTAAAAAAATATAAACACCATTTAAATTAAGAGTGCGAGCCAACCAACGCCATTATTTTTAATTAAAAAAATATAAATTTATCACTCGTAATACTAAGACTAACTTATGTGACAATCAATGATAAAAATACCGACAAAGAATGACGGTTGGACTCCATTTATTGAAGTCACTATATAACCGAGCATTGTAGCACTAGTCTTTTTAATTTGATTTGAGTTGAATAGTTAATCACATATTTTTAATTATACATTTAACTTTCTTAGCAAAACCAAAATAATAATAATAATAATCTTCTTCTTTTCTTTTTTTTTTTTCCTATTTTTATAGGCATTAATGATTCTTTACTGTCCAATATTTTTTTTATAAAAAATAATAATAAATAAGTAGTATTAAAAGTTCTAACCACTTTATTCCCAAAACATGCATTAACATTTGTTATAATGAAAGAAAATAGTTGTGCCAGCTTCAAAAGTGTTGCAAAGGTAGAAAAGGCTTCGGAATAGAGGAAAAGGCCCACATGAGTTGCATGGAATGTAGAGTTGTCTCTGGCCCACCAACATTCAACCCACAGTTGAGTGGTGATGGTCTATGTTTAAATAATTGCTAAGCTCCAAATGGCACCAAACCCAAACAGATCATATCAAGTTGGGACTCAAAGTAGGACATGTTTAACGATGAAATTCATGATGAGTAATGGGCATGCCACCACCAATGTTCAGGGTCTACTGTCACACTAGCTTGGCAGCCTTGGCCTCCTCACTCTCCTCCATTGCCTGCCGACACATTTTAGCTCTTCACTAATTGATTTCACCATCAAAACTAGTTACATTTAAAATTCAAAAGATAAAAGGAGAAAGAGAAGAGTGAACTATAAAGAATAATGTTACAATAATCGATCGATCTTTCTAGGTGTTTATCTCAATAAATGACACATCAGTCGATAATAACAACTAATCGATATATCTGTCATTTTCTACTATAAATTCACAAATACATTGCAACTTTGAACTACCCGGTAATTTTTTTTTTCAATTCTAATTTCAATGCACCAATTAGCATGTGTATATTAAGCCTGGAAGTTTCTTTGAATACAAAATCATATACAATGAAGTGGAGTATTTAAGATCCAGACCAAACCCAACCAAGAATCCAGAGGCAAAAAGGAAAAAGAGAGAATGTGCACAGTTAATCAATAAGAACCAAAGAAGTGGAAGAAATTAAATATATGGTGATAATGATACAATGTTGAAGATACAAAATCATATACAATGAAGTGGAGTATTTAAGATCCAGACCAAACCCAACCAAGAATCCAGAGGCAAAAAGGAAAAAGAGAGAATGTGCACAGTTAATCAATAAGAACCAAAGAAGTGGAAGAAATTAAATATATGGTGATAATGATACAATGTTGAAGATTTATTGCAGAGTGAAACAATCAATAAAGTAGCATGAAAAAAATTTATTTACAAGGAAACTATAATTGGGTTTAAGCTTAATTGAAATGGTGAGCTAGTTAGCTTTTACCTGCAGCACCAAAGGGGCTATTAGCCAGCAGTGTTGGTTTCTGTTAACCGAGGTTGATGGGATGCAAAGGATTGACTGAACACAATAACAGTAGAAATGCCAATGTAATTTTTTTAACGGATTGATTGAGGATCTTCCTTGCTTACATTTACCTTCTCTTCTCCCCCTAATGTTCTTTTCTAATTCTCCCACAGATCATGTTAGCTCATTTGTTCACCGATTAGGTCAAGACCAACGAGGAGGAAGGACACGCCCTGAAATAGTAAGTAGTAAAAGTGCACTCCTTGAGCTGATAACAGGCTCCTGAGTGCAGCCGTGAGAAGTAAGAAAGCTAGAGCAAGCTCTTTCTTAAATATCTTGTTCATTTTCTTCTTCACGGGAGGTAGTAAAGCTACTTCTTGGTGTTCTTTCAGCTTGTTGAGCTCAGACAGGCCACTATCAGAAGCACCTCTATGAAGAGGAGGTTGATTCATGACTTCGGAATCCCTCTCTGCTGCAGCCAATAGGTTAGGCTCTGATGATCGACCTGACTTTTTCGTGACAATCCATTCATATGAGCTTCCTAATTGGAACAATCCAGATACCATGGCATTGAATTTGGTCACGGACATTGTGTTCTCAAATAGAAGGTAAGGAGCAATAAAAGGGAAGGAACTTGGTGAGGGAAGTATGCTTAGAAATGACAAGCATACCGGGACGTAACAAATAACCCAGGCAGGTAGCTCAGCTTCGGGGACAAACATGGTTAAAGGAAGAATAATACAAAACAATGTGAAAGAATAGAATGGGAGGATAAGTTTCCTCAATAGGAAAAATAGAAGAATCAGGTTTGTTTTCTTCCAAAATGATATCTGCAAAATCATGGCATTAATTTCAACTTTTAGAGACATTATGGTCGAAATTATACCCTAGAAAAGAAACAAAAAGTGTGAAATTGAGGCCAACCTTGGACTTAATGATGGCTGGAAGGCACAAACGAAATAGTTGCATTGGACCTGAATGCCAACGATGTTGCTGTTTTCTGTAAGCTTCAAAAGACTCGGGAACTTCACAAAGGACCTGAAAAGTAGTTCCATAATGCAATGATTTCCAAATCTTCAGGGATGCATTAAATTGTATCCAACTTTCTCATCAATAATATGTACTTAACATGTAAGGTAATATGTGAAAAGTTATTTAATATCCCAATTATTAAGCACCATTCCATTATCAGTTCCCCAAATTCAATCTCTTGTATTCATCTTTGAGATTTAACTTGCCTACTAGTAGTTTATAGGATACCCAATTCAAATTGTAAGAAATATGCTAAAAAGTAGGAGGAAAACGAAAAATGACAAAAATATTGATTACCTTCACATCATTAAGGAAAATAAATTTCCAACCATGGAGATGAGCACGGACTGCTATGTCCATATCCTCTACAGTCGTCCTCTCGAGCCAACCACCAGAATCCTCCAGTGCTTTGATTCTCCACACACCTGCAGTTCCATTGAAACCAAAGAAGTTGAGGAAGACCCCATTAACCTGCTGCTCCACCTCAAAGTGGAAGCACAGATTAATGTTTTGGAGGCGAGTCAACAAATTTTCATCCTTGTTCACAAAACTCCACCTAGCTTGAACCAACCCCAATTCAGGATTGTCCTGCAATGCAAATATGAATGGATGACTAACTATAACAAGCCTCCCACCAAAATCTGTGAACTGGTTTAAAAGGGCCACATGAGTTATACTCACCTTGAAATGTGGAATTGTCTGCTTAAGGAAATCAGGGTTTGGTTGGAAATCAGCATCAAAGATTGCAACAAACTCATAGGCCTTCACATAATCACAATTCATTGCAGATTTTAGGTTTCCAGCTTTATAACCAGTTCTATCCAATCGATGACGATAAATAATGTTGACACCCTTCTGGCTCCACTTGGAGACTTCCCCCATGATTAACCACTGAATGCTCTCGTCATCAGAGTCATCAAGAACTTGAATCAATAATCGGTCCTTTGGCCAATCAAGTTGGCAGACTGCTCCTATAGATTGTTCATACACCTAAACCAGATAATGCCAAAGTCATTGTAGTCACTGTGTCGAGAAATTTATGGGCAGTGTCAAAACACCACCGACAACTTTATATCATTTTCCACGCACTATAATAGTTGTGACACTTCTAATCAAGGGTACTTAGAACTTGAACAGTGAATGTAAGCAACAGATCAAATCAAGAACAGAACAAACAATTGAGCATGAGCTACAATTAGTACTTAAATAACTGATATATTAGAAAAATGAGAAAACTTACCTCTCTCTCATTACACATTGGAATCTGAACAAGAACCATTGGATATTTACATTCTGAACCTTCCAAATCATGCGACTCAAATGGATCCTCTTCGCTTCGCGGCTTAATCTTCTTGTACTTAATCCAGAAACAACCTAGACAAAGCATCAGCCTGTCGACGGATTGAATTAGGAAGAGAACAACACAAAATGTAGAGAGAGCTTGAATTGGAGGTGCAATGTAGTCGGCACGAAACTCCAACCAAGCAATGTATACAGTATGTAGCCATCCTTGAATCTCCATGGTTTGTGGAACGTGCAAGCTATGATTCCGGATATAATACCAGCCATTAAAGTGGGCAAAAACTTCAAAGACCAGAAATACCAAAGCTGTCAGTAGGAATACTAGAATGACTCTGAACAATAGCCTTCCCTTGCTAGGTTTCTCACTCTCCATTGTCACTCCCTGCCCAAGTATCAGTCTTTTCTTGATGGCACCAAGCAATGACCAGACGACATTGCCGAGCCAGGCAAGGCAACCGACAGCTCGATGAGCCTTGAGAAGCAAAACCCATGTCACTTGCTTTGCATTCTTTCCCCGGTCCTTCTCAACCGGCCGGAATGCAGCGTCCGGGCCATCGATTTCTAGTACAGAGTAATTGGGGTTCTCCATGGTCACTACCACAGGAGTTCCCTTCCTGGTAGTATCCTTTGCCCACCACTTAAAAAAATCTGTTCTTGGTGCCATATTTGACACTCAATTGAACTCAATTCACTCAGAGAACCCAAATATACTAAACCCAATGAGCAAAAGCTAAGAAAACTAAGAAATTATCAGAACCCAGATCATAAAATGAAGAAAATCACAAACCCATTCGAGGTCTAACGATATAAAACCTTAAATAACCAAGAAAACTTCAAATTCATGTATGAAAAATGACCAAAAAACTCAGAAATTCAAAAACCCTATTTCAATACCCCTGCATTCCACACCAAATGCAGCAGAGGAAAGGCTGTTTGAAGAGAAGGGTGTGTGGAGTGGCTCTATTCCTCCTATTCCCAAAAGGTACTACAACCTACAACCCAACTTGGGGAAAATTACCAATAATCAATATGGGAAAAAGTTGCTTGCAAAAGCCCTAATCCATGTGGGTATACCGTATATAGTCGAAAATAATCCAAAACAAACACAACCCTGATTTTAACTTCCTACATATTACCATGGGGTGGTTGGGATAAGGTAGATTCTGTTAACAATGACTAGCAGAGAGACAATAAAGCAATAATAATAGAGTGATGGACTAAGAACACACTTAACAATGACAACCAGAAAGACAATAAAGATAATAAAGCAATAAAGTGATCAACTAAGAACACCCACTAACAAGAAACAACCAAACCGTGTGAGAATGGAATGAGAAACCTCGGTCTTCTTTTTAAAAAAAAGACAAAAGAAAAAAAAAAGAGCACTTTGGTAAAAAGGGGTTTGGAATTTTGAAGTGATGAAATAGAAATCACGGAAAATAAGTTAGTTATTAGGACAAATTAAGGGAAGTTAAATTAGTCAGAATAATAATTATAGTAATAGTTAGAAAATACTCCGTAATAATAATGGATTAAGAAGGAAATCCTTATTAGACAGATCACAATTCCAACCTGGCATAAATTTTTCCAATATATGAGCTAGATTGGTGGCGGATCTTCTACATCATGTCATGTCTGTGAGATCTTGGTAGATAGCATTTATTATAGAATGCATTATAATAATATACCTACCATATATATATGATAATAATTTTTTTTTTTGGGAAAGTAAAAAAAAAGATAATAATATTTTTGGTATATATGCTAAATGCCGATAAATTTACAATATACAATATATTTTTCCTGATGAAATTAATAGTAAAAGATAGAGTGAATAGAAGAAAAATAAATTTTTCATTGTGCAGTTATTTAGCATAACAATTTTTCAATAAAATTAAGAAAAAATTATCCTTTTATGATTTAAATAGTATGAAACTTTTCATAAAAGAAATGGCATAATCAAATTGTGTGGCCTAGTGGTGAATGCATATAAAAGAAAAAAGAATTTGGCATATAAAATAAATAAATAAAAAAAGAGCACTTTAATTTTTTTTATTTTTAAAGCGCACTTTAATAGTTCAATGGTGACCAAAAATCTACTAATAAAAAAATAAACAAATAAATAATCTGTTTATTTTTAGTTATCCCTTTTTGTCCTGGCTTAGAGTTCTTTAGGATTGCTTATCTATGGTTTTTATTTTAAAAAATTACGTTTAAATGGATTTAGTAACCATTAAAGACGCCATTACTAAATTTTGAAATTATAATTTGAAACTTTTAAAACTGCATTCTAAGTAAATGTTAAATATTTTAGGTAACTCTTTTTTCATTAGTCAATTATATTCTTTTTATTTTTTATAAAAATAATAACATTCATTCCTTAATAAAGTTTCTATTATCGAATATGGTAAAATTCTGTTAAATTATATTATAAAATTAGCAATATAAATGTTTAAAAAATATTATTAAAAAATAATTTAATAATAAAAATTACTTATTATAATATGTAACCAAACAACTAACATGTTTTTTACTCACCGCAATTTTTTGATAGCTCTATGCATAAAAGTAATTTTTTTATTCCAACCCAAACATGCTCTTAATATCTTTTATGTTTCTTTGCTGCTAAATACATTTGCATATTATAAATTACGAAATTTTCATTTGAGACTGAGCTGATTCAATTTTCCATTAGAGGTTCAACATTTCTTTAATTTAAGAATAGCTGTTGAACCAAAAGTTAATATCTCACTAAATAAAATAAGTTTGATGCGAAAGATATGCAAAATAATGCTCGCCCAAAAAAAGAAAAATTAACAAATTGATTATTGGTGATGTAAGGACATGTTTGGCAATCAGAATTACTTTGCGCTTTTATTTTGATGTGAAGCAGATTAATAATATTTGGAAGTTTGTTTTGGCTTTGTGTTTTGCATTTTTTTTTTTTTAAGCACTTCAATATTATTCAAATTGTAATAAATATTATAAAAAACGCTTCATGCTTTTACTTCACTTCACTACGTTAGTGCTATGTTCGGTAGGAAGAAAAGAAGGGAGGTGGAAGGAAAATGGGAATGAAGGAGAGATGATATAAGGAAATAAGGGATAATAGGAATGATGGATGATCCTTCTTCCTTTACAAATTTTAATCAGTCCAAATGTGAACGCAAGATAGGAAAAATTATAAAAGTTTTAAATTACTATATCACCCTTCATAAATATTTCATAAATTTCATAAATAAAGTAGTGATGGGTTTAATGGTAAAAATAATTTAAAAATTTATCTTCCCTTTTATCTTAAAGATCAAATTAAATCGTCAGTTTTTCCATTCTATTCCATCTAACCAAACCAAACAAAAATAGAAAAATACTTAATTTTTACCCTAGGAATGCCTCAGTCATCCCTTATTCTCTCCCTTTCATTTATTTATTTTTTATTCCTACCGAAGGGAGAAAACACTAAACAAAAAATAATTATCAAACAACCCTAAATAATTTTTATAATTTTTGGGTAGTTATGAGACACCTTGGCTGAAACTCTTCTTACTCCTAAGAACACCAAATGAAAACAATATTATAAAAAATATATATTATAGTAACGCGACAATAAAACAATTACAAGGTTGCTTAGATCATGACTCATGAGTATTTTAATTTAGTTATTTTTCCTCTTAGATCTTGAGCATTGGTTTATTCCAATTTTCAAAAACACTGGACAGTAGGAAACTTTGAACTTGCCAGCAAGATTTCACACATACACGAATATATATATATATATATATACACTTTTTGTTAGTATTTAATAATAGCATATTCTTTGGACATTCCTTGCTGCTTCCATGCAATTAAGACCTTCAACAGTCAACTTTAGGTACAAAAGAACGCCTCAGCAATTCATTGGCCTAGCTGAAAAAATCAAAACAATATTTTCCAATATCCTCAACAACTTAAAGATAATTTTGTCCAAATATTTACTAATTTGGTAACATGAATTTGATGACTTATAATTGGAATTAAAAAATAATAATAATTCAAACTTAGGACTTTTTTTTTTTTTTTCAATTCAATTTCAATTTCATGTTATAGCATATACAAATTTAAAAATTAAGTAATGATATGAAGCTCTGTCATGGAGGATATTAATCCATGTAAATGCAATCCAATTGTCAACATCAAACGTGTGACAAGTTTTTTTTTTTTTTTTTTTTTTTCACTTAGGTGGGACTCATACACATTGCCTCCACTAAGATTCGACCCCTGATATTCCTTTAAGAAGTAGGAGCCTTGTATCGCTAGGCCATACCTGTTGGTAATGTTTCACAAATCCTTAATCAAAATAAAACCTCTCACCACTTTCTTTTTTTTTTCTTTTTTTTTTTTTTTTTTTTTTCACCACTTATTTGAACTGATTGCCTTTTCACTTTTATTTTGAGAAAATTTAGATTGTTTTATATTAACAAGTAAAAATTGGATATTTAATTTTGTCTCTCCTTTTAAAAAGTCCTGTTTAAACTCTAACATTATACTATAATACTACTATAAAATAGTTTTGGCATGCAACTACTAATTATAATACTTATTTGTTCACTAATCAATATAAATTCTTTTAAATTTTAAAGAATAATAATCATCATCTGAATTCAAAGAATACATCACGCGTGGATCCAAATCCACACACAAACTCCATTCAACATCTACAGAATATAAAGATATATCTTTATTATTTTGAAAACAAACTTTGAACCGTTATATGAAGTTCTATAAGATTAAACATACATAATATTACTTTAGCAAGACAATCATTTTATATAATTCTAAGGAGTAAACACAAATTCTTTGAATTACACTTCAAGTTACAAGAAGCCCTCCTCCAAACTTCCAAATTTGCATGAAACTACCTTTTATTATTCTTTTTTTTAGGTAAATTACCCCTCCATTAGGATGTTGTTTGAAAAATACCCATTGGTTCATCGCATGACTTTGATAATGACAAATACGATAAAATTACATCTTTAACCACTAATTTTAAGGGTTGCAACACTGGTTTTTTTTTTTTGGGTGCAAAACATGTATAATTCAAGGGGTAATTTTTACAATTTATTCAATTTGTTAAAATATAAATTTATATTATATCTAACTCCACCATCCCCACACCTTATACAAATATTTAATTTTTAAGTTATATAATATTTATTGAATATAAAACTATCACCATTATTTTTCTTTTAGGTCCGGTGATATTTAATTACTCAATTCAGTGCTTAATTCTAAATGGATTAAGCGTCTATCCAATTGTGTTGGTAGCAATTTGAATATCACCAAAAACAGTAATTACCACTTAAAATGAAATAAAATTTTAAGTGACGGAAATATCACTCATCACTAAATATTGAACACTGAAAATTTTTTAAAAATATAAAAATATTTAATTACCACTTAAAAAAATTAGTATTTAAAATTCAGCTCTTAAAATTTATCAAACAACCATGTTTGTTTTGGAGAAAAAAATTGAAAAGTAAAACTACATTTTATTTATTTATAATTTTCACACTATCTAAATGATAAAATGAAAATTTATTGAAAATTCTTTTCATAATTAACAAAATATTCTCTGAAAATATGTTTCTCACTTGACTTTTTTTATTTTTTATTTTTAATTTTGTTTTTGGAAGTCTCAATCTTCTTCTCTAACCAAACGAATCATTGTGTAATTTATTGGATCGGGTCATATCGGGTTGGGTCACGTTTATTTCAGAATTCAGATAATTATTTCTGCACCGGCCCACCCAGATCCTAAAACCCGGTTTACTTCTTCCTCTTTCTCAATCAACAAAACCCCCTTACACCGTCACAAGCTAGGGTTTCTACCTACTCTCTCTCTAGAAAATCTAAAATCTTCGTCGACAGCAATGGTTAGTTTCTGGACATACCAATTTCACTATATAGGCTTAGTAGTAGTTCGGTTTCTCATAGGATTTTATGTAACTGTTTATTGATTAATGCTATTTTGATGAATTGTTAAGCCGCAAGGGGATTACATAGATCTTCACAGGAAGAGACATGGCTATCGCCATGATCATTTCGAGCGCAAAAGGAAGAAAGAGGCCCGCGAAGTTCACAAGCGATCTGAAATTGCCCAGAAGGTTCAAATTCTTCATTCCTCTATTATTTATATCTATCCAATGTGTGTGTTTGTGAAAATTTTCTGTAAAGTTCTCATTTTTGTGCTTTAATGCGAATGGAACAGGCCTTGGGTATCAAGGGTAAGATGTTCGCTAAGAAACGCTATGCCGAGAAGGCTCAAATGAAGAAAACGTGAGTGTTTTTCTCACATATGATTGGGTTTAATGTATTGATTTATTAACTTGTATGATGCTTTTTTTTTTTATATATATATATAAAATAGCCATAAACAAAATATCATTCCTGATTCCTGAATGACCTTTTGATACTTGGAGAACTGAAGTATAGAGTCATTTAAAAAAAGCCGAGTTTCATTTTTCTTTTTTGCCTTAATGCCTTAATGGTACTCCCTCGTCCCATATTAATAGTTCATCTTTCTATTTTAGGCTGTCTCATAATAGTTGTTCCATTTCAAAAATCAATGCACTATTTGTTTTAACATTCCCAATTTACCCCTAAAAGATAAAACACATTAAAGTCTCAAAATGGCGGACCCCATCAAAGAATAATATTTAAAAGGGATAAATTTGGAAATATATGCTCTGCCAATGTAATAAAAGCTAGTGTCTTAAAATGTGTGAATTTTGAACGTGGACATCTGTAATGGGACAGAGGTAGTATGAAATTTCAGAGAAGTTCTATCTATTCGGTGAAATTTCCTTCCTCTTCAACCAGGATTCCTTCAATATATAGTTTCCACATTATTGAAGTTATGGGCACACTCATCAAGGAGGAATTGGGGCTTGAAGGGTGGTGGGGGGAGAAATTATAGGGTAGCTGTTGTTAACTCTTCGACCATCAATTAAAGATGTCAATGTAAAGTGGGAATGAAACTAATTAAGTGGAACTATTATTTCAGAGTATTTGTTACTTGTTTTGTTACTGAATTGAGTTGAGTGGATTTCCATACGCATAAAAGACTGTTTTTGTGGACAAAAAAGTTTGTTTTATGGGCCAAGGGACAGTCTCAGGTAGACAGTTTAGTTATGTATCAACGTTCCAACAAAAATACTTGTATGCATCAAAAACCCCGGGTTCAGGGGGGCCCGCTATGCCAAAAGCGAGAGAAACCCCAAAACGGATAAATGCTGGGAAAAAAAATTCTAGAAGGGATTCTTCGTCTCCCATAATCCATTTTCTCGTCGGGGGATTCCTTTATTGGCTCATAAACTGACCTAGGTAAATCCAGGAACTCAATTCGATTTTTCTCAACAATGTCTTTGTCATTTGATCCAATAGCGTTCCGTTAGATAGGAACAGATTTGATATCTTTCTATATATCATTAATATTCCCAGAATCAATACACAACTTTTTCTTGCATCATCAACAAACAAAATTATTGATAAATACATTTACAATAATGAAACAAATCAAGAAAGAATTGCTAAAAGAAATAAAACTACAAACCTATGGAACGGAGATAAATAGATCCACTTATCACGATGAATTATATTTGTTCGATACACTGTTGTCCCGAAGGAACCGGACATGATAATTTTTCATCATCCGGCTCGAGCAAGAATCAAAACCCTCGGTACGAATAACTCGTACAACGGATTAGCAATCCGACGCTTTAGTCCACTCAGCCATCTCTCCCAATTGAAAAAAAAAAGATAATTAATTACTATGTTACATTACACATAATGTGTAACATGCCATAACAGATATCTTTGATGAAACACACTCATGACTTTGAGAGTCTTTCTTTGGATTCAATAATCCTATGGCTCCATCTGTTTCGAAGGAAGGAATATATTGGAAAACAGTTGAAGATAAATGAATAAACATTTAATACTCCATCCATGTGATGGATATTTTGAGGTGTGTTTAAGGGAATTGTGTATACTTCTAATATGTCATTTATTTATTTATTTTATGAGATTTGAGCTTATCATTGTTTTTGGCCTTTAAATTGTGGTTCTTTCATTTATTTTTTTGTTTTTGCATTTTCCCCTAAGTAATAGACTTGCTTACCATGACTACAAAGAAAGAGCAATTCTATCTCATCTGTATGATTTGCAATCTTTCTGGTGCCGAAACTGCTTGACCGCCTCTAGAAAATTGTGCACCAATCCCTCTGGCCTTACCTTATGACCCTAACGAACTTTCTTCATTTCTCTTCTATTCCCTCACAAAAGCAACTCGTGCAGCGCCACTCTAATTCCAGAACTTCTATTTTTGAAGTCGAGCATCTGAGATAGTGTTTGTGAAGAATTTGTTTATTTCTTATATTTGCATGTGCCAGATTGCTATTATTCTTATTGAATGTCTAATGGTTCAAGATTGTTTCTGATTCTTTATTTTAACCATGATGACAGATTGGCTATGCATGAGGAATCTTCAACAAGGCGCAAGGTGGATGATGATGTACATGAAGGAGCTGTTCCTGCCTATCTGCTTGATCGTGAAACAACAACACGAGCAAAGGTATGTTATTTTGGTGGTTGTTTTACTTTTCAGTCTCCTTTTTTTTTATACGATTGGTATAATTCTATATTGACTGGAATCTGGATACAATTAATGGATCTGTCGTGCTGTATGCAGGTTCTTAGTAACACCATAAAGCAAAAGAGGAAAGAAAAAGCTGGGAAATGGGAGGTTCCTCTACCCAAGGTAGGTTCTTGTGCTTGTTTTTCACATTTCATCTTTTCTAGAATAAGTTGCACTTCTTCCTTGTTTCATTTCACATACATTGGATGCACCATGTGCTTACAGAAATGTGAAGAATAGAAATGATTTTCAGCTGTGTTAGATGTTTAACATAAAAAATTGGTTCTCTTGGAGTGAAGTTTGAGACTTCATAAATGATTATACAAGGCAACTATACGTAGAACACGTTTCGGCACCCAAATGCCTTCTCAATACTCTTTACAAGGCTGGAAGTTTCTTTCAGTGGTGTAGTTTTTAGTCCTTTATAGCTTATGTGCTAGTCACCCTGACATCTGTTTTAATCCTTTACGTACTTGTACTTCTATGTGCAATGACATCAAACTTTATAAAGATATTTGTAGGCAGATATTCCTATTACTCTTCATAGAGCGAAGTTCTTGTGAAAGTGAACAAATAAATTTTTTAAGTAGCACCTTTATTTGAAAATAGTGTAGTTTTTGTCAACATAAATAAAGTTTATATGGCTAATTTAGATTTTGAATCTCTTTTTAAGTTTTATGGGAGGATTAAAATGTAACATTAAAATGATAAAGTTTACATGGCTAATAGTGACCAACGTATACATTTAGTGTTATCAAAGGCCCAAGGCACACTAAGGCGCTAAATGTCCTTTGGAGCCTAGTGTAACGGGTGGACGCTTACCCATTTAGCCAAAAGCTTAAGCTATTGGGTAGTGCTGCATACCCACTCATTTATACCCATTCATTTTCCCATCTGGATCCGACATGGGACAAACTCCCCCTTGTAACATTCTTCCCCACCTGAATTTGTAACGTCCTTGTTGCGGCTTGGGCCACCCTGCCCACTCGTGGTGAAGACCCAGACGCTCTGTGGGCGGGGCGCTTGGCATGATGCCAAATCAATGACTGGTCTGGCTCTGATACCAACTGCAATGGGCGGGACAAGCTCCCCTTTGTAACACCTAGGCACAAAGCGCAAGGCAAAGCGCGAGCCTAAGTGAAGCGAGGCGCACAATTAAAATTTTAAATTACTATTAAACATATTCATATTCCATATTAAAGGCGCACCTAGGCACACAACAGGCGCATGTATGAGCATAGAGCCTAGACGCGCCTTTAACAACGCTATATACATTGACTTAAAGTTTACATGGCTAATGGTGACTAAGTTATGCATTAACTAAATATGTAACTTCACCTAATTCCATAACATTCGAGTCAATTTTTTGACTCAATTCTGTAGTATATACTACTTTTGAAATATGAAATATGTTTACATGATAAACTACACTGGAGCTATGTGTAGTCTAAAGACAGACAGACAAACAAACAAATTGGTGGTTTATCCAAAGGAGATGAACAATGGTTGTTGAGAAGTTTCAGGAGGCAGGCGGTTGTGCGTGAAAAAGAGGGAGAGAACAAAAAATTAGAGAGTGAGCGTGAGAAACCACAAAGAGGTGAGATGACGTGTCAGCAGGCGATGGCATTGGGTCGACGATGACAGGACCAGCGGTGAACTAAGAGAGAGATTTAGGGCTGTGGGCTGAGAAGACAGATTAAAGTTACTGGGTTAGTAGGTTTATATATATAGACTTATCCTATGTATCGTGGTGCATGATAAGGGTTATTGCCAACCAATATATATATACATATATATATATGTATTTATGTATGTATGTGTGTTTCTAACGGTTCAGTTCATGGTTTGGGGTCCAAAAGGACTGAACCAAAAGAATGGTCCTTAATTTTAGGAACCTGAGCCAAACCATTCGTTCTCAAAACTAAGCCATTTGTTTCACCGATTTTAACAGATTTTTGTGCACGCCTAAGAGAATCTAAAGTACGAATTTGATTTCCAAGGAGTAATGATCGTATGTGTTTGATGAGTTAATGAACTTTAATACGCTAATACCTAGTATCTTATGTTGCATAAGTTGCTGGTGATTACTTCATAATGAGTAGACAATTTTATAAGTGGAAGTTATTTTTGCTTTTCAGGTCAGGCCTGTAGCTGAAGATGAGATGTTTAAAGTGATCAGATCCGGTAAACGAAAAAGTAAGCATTCTACATGGTTTCTTTTGCTTTCTTTCTTTTCCTGGTTTAATTTTTGTGTTTGAATTGTTTATATGTTCCATCTGTTTTGTTCTGAGAAATCCTAATATTAGGTTGCTAAGTTACTTAATATTTAAATTTTCTTTTAGACTAAAAAGTTTGTGATAGTTTTAGCCTTTTAGGGTGGATAGAAAGTGATCAGCAAGGACAGTTCCTGAGAATGCTTGAATATGTAACTTACTGAGCATTTTATTGGATCTGGTCATTGCTTGGTTTAGTGTTAAAATATTCTTATATTGTTTTTATATTTAGATTTATATGAATTATTAAACTTCGTTTCATGGATTATTATTTTATTATTTTTTTGGGGAGTAAGGTACACTCTCACGAACAACTGTCCCCTATGGGACTTAAACCCCATGCTTGAAAAGTGCTCTGCTGGCCTGAATCTTTATAACTTCGGGTCCTTCAACTGGAATACATTAATTACTCGATCCACGATCTGATTGGTATAATATTAGTTTGATTATAGTGTTTGTATGTGTGTCATGTAGTTACCATATAAAAGCTACTTTTGATGATCGACTATTTTAAAGAACAACATAATATTACTCTTGTGATTTCTCTTATGAGGCAGAGTTTTTGACTATGAGACTACTGAAGGAATGAAACATATATTTGTTTGTCTAGTTATGTCACTGATGTCCATGCCCGGTTTTCTTTTTCCACAGCCAAGCAGTGGAAGAGGATGATCACCAAAGCCACATTTGTAGGACCAGGTTTTACGAGGAAACCTCCCAAGTATGAACGATTCATCCGTCCTTCAGGCTTGCGATTCAATAAAGCTCACGTGACGCACCCTGAACTTAAATGCACTTTCAATCTCGAGATCATTGGAGTGAAGAAAAATCCTAATGGTCCAATGTATACATCTCTTGGTGTTATGACTAAAGGAACCATCATCGAGGTAATTTTTCCTTTTAGTTTCTTGTTTTGTTTTGATTAGAAGTCAAATCTGGTGGTGTTTGTCTTTGTTTAATATCCCCTTCCATGAATTATAGGTGAATGTCAGTGAACTGGGTCTGGTCACACCAGCTGGAAAAGTTGTATGGGGTAAAGCTTCTTCTTCTTATGTAATCGTTGTTGTTTTCCCATTTTTCCTCTGTTACCGTCAATTATCCTCATTTGTTTACATGGTGGATGCAGGGAAATATGCTCAAGTGACAAATAATCCAGAAAATGATGGTTGTATTAATGCAGTTCTCCTGGTCTAGAAGGATTAGTGTGAACGGGAGCAGAACAAGGGTTGCTCATGGTAGAAACCAGGTTGAGAAAAACTAACACACTTCAAAGTTAGTGTCTGGAGACTATGATGCTGTTTTGTTCAGGAGGCACCATAATTTTCTCCGTTTCGGATGTAGAGTTATTAGCCCTTGTATCTCTTGGATAGAGTGTCCTTGATAATGGGAGATCAAATATTATATGTAACTTATAATTTTGTCTTCAGAACCAAATCGGTATCTACTCTTGCTTAACATGGGGAAATATCTTTATGAGGTTTTTTTTTGTCATATATTCGTGTCCCAATTTATTCTTTTATTTTAGGTTTTGTATATTTTTTCCGGGCTTGATGTTCTCTTATCTCCATACTAATGGAGATTGTTTAAGTTCTAGTGGCTCGCACACTCAACAATGGGCTAAGAACTTGGTGAACTTGATGAAATATGGTGTCTTTTACCAGGTAATCCGCAAGCAGTGTTTGTTTGTAAATGTTGATTGCATCCGAATTTGTTCTACTCATTGGCTACTGCAGCAAGTAAAAGTTGAATCCAGGCTGGCCTCACCTGATGCATGCCTTCACCCTTATGCTTGGGCTCAGTTATTTTTCAACTAGAATTCATGGAAATACACTCATATTGGCTAAATCCATCTACACTCACATTGGAAGGTAGTCTAGTCCATCTAGACACCCACATTGGTAGGTAGGGTAGTAATAAATGAGTTTTTCTAAAAATAAATTCTAGTTACGAAATATTGAGTACCAGTTAAGGGAGAAACATTCTAGAAATGCCAGCAAAATGGAGATTTCTCTTCAAAGAAAGGGTAAAATAAGGAGTACATAATGATATTAAAAGCTTTCAAAGGTATTTAAAAAAAAAAAAAATGAATTTATCATTAAACTGTTTAGAAATAGTTGAACCAAAATGACAAGCCAAAATTAATTTTTTTTCATATTAGGTTAGTGCCCTAATGACTTAATGAGAGATCTCTCCTTTTAAAAGAATATTGAATGCCAAAATTAATTTTTTTTCATATTAGGTTAGTGTCCTAATGACTTAATGAGAGATCTCTCCTTTTAAAAGAATATTGAATGTCATTTGTCTAAAAAAAAAAAAAAAAAAAAAGCCAAGGATCTAAATCTAGCCCGAGTCGGGTCCAAAATTTTTTTAGTTAAAACTGATATTAAGCCCAATTCATGGTCTTTCGCACCGAGTACATCCTAGCAAGACCGACCCCGATAGCGAAGCTAGGGTTTTTACTCCACCATAACAATACGATACAAACCCCTCTCTCTCTTGTTGTAGGAATTTGTGCTGCGTTTCTGTGAAGAAAGAGACAACTCTGTTACCGAACCACGAAGCAGCCATGGCGACCAAAGTCCAGAGGATTATGACCCAACCCATCGTACGTTCACCTCTCCCTCTATCTCTCTCTATATATACATTGTTTCGGTTTGTTCTGTGGAATTTTTTCTGAAATTTGTGTGTTCTGTAATTTTTTTTCGGTAATTTGTGTATTCTGTGGAATTGGATACAATATATTTGTATGCGGTTTTCTATCTGAGCTTTTATGTCTTGCTATTCGATTTGGCTATAATTGTTACTAATCTACTATGTCTTTTGTTTCATGAACGACTGGTGGTTTCAGAATCTCATATTCAGGTTTCTTCAAAGTGTAAGTGATGTTTTTGATATAAAAGATGATTTTTGTCATGCGTTTGTCTATTATTCTTTGCTAATTGTATTGTGCTTATGCTTTCTCTCTTTGAATGGAAACAGAAAGCTCGTATCCAGATTTGGCTTTTTGAGCAGAAGGACTTGAGGATTGAAGGACGCATTATTGTATGTTTACTACTCTCAGACCCTTTTCTGCTTGTTCATGTTGATTGGGCTTCCTGTATCTATTCCTCCCTACTTTTGTTCTGTGGAAAATTGTTTTTAGGACACCTGGTTATATCATTCAGAAGTTTGGAGATGATATTTATCAAATATCTTCATACCTGATAAATATATATATATAGACACACAAATATAAAACATAATAACACTGCATGGTGGTGAATTTAAATTAAAAGGGAATTTTATTCTCTCATTATGAGTTCTTCAGTGTTATGTTTGGTTCTGTGGAAATTTGTTTTTAGGAAACCTGGATATATCATTCTGAAGTTTGGAGATGATATTTATCATATATAGTCATATCTGATAAATATCTTTACAGACACACACATATAAAACATAATAACACTGCATGGTGGTGAATTTAAATGAAAAGGGAATTTTTTTCCTCTCATTACGAGTTCTTCAGTTTTCAAGGTCACAACTCATGAATACATGAATGTATTTTGATAGTTGGGAGAGATATTCTATTGTGGGTGGCGACTGGTGCATATTATGGAGCTTTAGAAATTAAGGAACATAGAAAGTGATTATTATGGTATGCTTTAAATTGTGTAAAATCTTTATTGAGTTTCTTGCTTGAAGACTTCACACGCTCGTATGTGCCTTCTTTTTTTTTTTTAAACCCAGTGGGTGTGCCTGTTAGAGGATGCCCATGAGGAATAGCATCTCATGGCTAATTATTTTAAGGCTAGATTATAATCTAGATAAATTGTGAACAAACTTCTATAACCCTACCTTTTTTCTTGGTTGCTAAACCTTAGAAAATTTCAGAATTTCTCAACATCAATCTGCTGATTATTGGTTACTCCCTTTCTCTTAACTTTTGTAGATTTCGAAATATCAGAATTGAGATTGACCATGGTCGGCACTGTTTTCTATTAGATTAGCGTTCTTTCTAAATTAATGAGTGTAGTGTGTATTTGGCATATTGATTTTAGATGTGTTGTTTGTATCCTTCTTGAGATTGGGTTTGGCCCATTTGCAAGACGTAACTCTTTTTTATCATGGGCATTTGTTAGACTCAAACCCTCCCAAGTTTTAGTAATCGACTATTGGGGCCATATTTTCAATATGATATCTTGGTATGTCTGGTTGGATTGACGGATGGATACTCCATCCAAACTAACATGGACAATTCATGGAATTCAAAACTTGTAAATGACAAGCTGTCCTAATATAAAACATATCAAATATGCTACCACATGCACATCCAATACCCTGCTCTCCTTCCCAACACCAAAGTAAAACATGTGTTGACGAATGAAATTACTGCCACATCTTCATTGAAAATGAAAAACTTCAAACATATGGGTGCATAAAAGTGAAAATTAAAATTTTAAAAAATAAATAAAATTAACTCATACTCCTAAGCAATTTTTCAAGCATTTTAAAATTTGGGTTTTAATGTAGGAACAAGTCCTATAAACTGCATAAATTCCAGTTGGGAAGAGGGCACTCCTATGGTCAGAAGTCTCTTATGTAAAATCTGGCTTTGGAAATCCTTGTTTCCTCTGATAATTAATGCAGGCGACCAGTTAGTACTATAGTGGAAGACTCCTATATTAGTGCTAACAGTATAGATTCCAATGCATAAATTGTTTATGGTTTATGCATTTTCTCATGTACATTACAAATGCATTTAAAAATTTGCTGATGAATGCACCTAAAATTTATCATGTGAAGGGTGCATGCATTTTTGTATTTGTGTTACTGAATGAATAGCATGTATTGGACCACCACAAGAGTTCTCTCAGTATTTGTGCTGCAAGAAATAGGCCAATTGTTGATTTTCTGTTCCATTATATCACATTTTACATCCTTGTTTATATTGTTTTTATTTGGGATGTTAGGGGTTTGATGAGTACATGAATTTGGTTCTGGAAGATGCCGAGGAAGTCAATGTAAAGAAGAAGAGCAGAAAGTCTCTGGGTGGGTAGCAAAATAACCCTTGGTTTGCATTTCCCACAAGATCTCTTCCCTTTTTAATGTAAATCTTGCTGCTGTTTTTTTTTTTTTTTTTCCAGGAAGGATCCTGCTAAAAGGGGATAACATCACGCTGATGATGAACACGTACGTAAATGCCATGACTCATTTTCCCATATGCATGTGAATACACGCTTTTACACCACAGTTCTACCTCCTAATTTCCTTCTCCTGATATCTTTTGCTTTTTCCTTCATCCAGGGGAAAATGATGGCGGGCTCCTGATGGTGCATGTGCTGACAATATCTTGTCGATGTTGCATTAGTGACAGAAGCCAGATATATTGCAATTTCTATGAGCAATTCTTGTGATAATGATGCTTGCTAGGGACTAAAATAGGGATCAGATCTCATGGCTTTTGTATTGTTTTTCACCTTAATGGTCTACTTCTGTTTTATGCTGCATATCGATTGCTTTGATCTTCTAATTATTATTATATTTGGAAGGGTGGATCACAATTGGTAAACTATGTGAAGCTTATAAAAATAGACAATAATTTGTGTTTAATTGCTACCATATAACCTAGACAGCTATCCAATTTCAAGAAAATCCAATTGTTGCTGGTTTTTTATTTATTTATTTAGTTTTCAGAGATCTCTGGAATCCCTCCGGATTCTGCTGAGCCATAGTTCTTGGGTGTGTTATAGAACTGTTTATATATGCTACATAATTATCTAAAGTACGTACATATTATTTCGCTGCAGAAGTCCTGTGCATGTGTATGCACAACCTACTGAAATTATTAATTGTTCATATTTAGCGGTAGCATTGTAGTAGTAGTAGTAGACAATTTCTTAAAAAAAATCCAATTGACAATTCTGGCCTTTCTCAAAGAAACTAGGCAGCTAAATCTAGCCTTGTGCTGGAAAAGTGAAATTTCAGGTCCTATCAAAGGGCTAAGATCTTTGCTGTAAACAGGTCGTGTCCCACCAAAGAAGGAACGACATTAAAAAAAAAAAAAAAAAAATAGAAAGAAAAAAAGAAAAGAAAAAAAGAAAACAAAATATCCTCTGGTGCTTCAGCACCTTTTTCCCTCGTCACCATCCCGTCATCTCTCTCTCATCACTATGTACCTCAAAATAGCATATCTCTCCCTCATCACTATGTACCTCAAAATAGCATAGTTGTTCAGGCATCGCCTTAAAAAATATCATAGTTTTTTTATTTTTTATTTTATTTTTCTCAATTTGTTTAATTTTGTTCTCAATACTTTTTAATCTTTTTATCAACACTTTTAATCTTATTCTCAACACTTTTAATTTTTTCTCAACACCTTAAATTTTGTCCTCAACAATTTTTTATCTTTTTTCTCAACATATTTAATGTTATTATCAATACATTTAATCTTGTTCTCAACACTTTTTAATTTTATTCTCAACATATTTTAATCTTATTATCAACACCTCTAATCTTGTTTTCAACACTCTTTAATCTTGTTCTCAAAACCATTTAATCTTATTTTCACCACTTTTAATATCTACCTCAATACCTTTTAATCATTACCTCAATACCTTTTAATCTTTATCTCAACACTTTTAATTTTACCTCACTACTTTTTAACATTTTTTAATCTTTTTTTTGAACAACTTTAATCTTGTTCTCAACACTTTTGAATCTTTTTTCTCAACACCTATAATCTTTTTCTAAACCTCTTTAATCTTGTTCTCAACACCATTTAATCTTGTTTTCACAACCTTTAATCTCTAAGTCAACACTTTTTAATCAATACCCCAATACACTTTTAATCTTTATCTTAACACTTTTAATCTTTGCCTCAGGACCTTTTCACACTATTTAATCTTTTTTTTCAACACCTTTAATTTTATTCTCAATACTTTTTAATCTTTTTTCTCAACACCTTCAATTTTGTTATTAACACCATTTTTCATTTTTTCTCAACACCTTTAATCTTAATCTCAATCTCTTCAATCTTGTTCTCAATACTTTTTTTTTTTTTTTTTTTAATCTTATTATCAACACCTTTAATATTGTTGTCAACACTTTTTAATCTTTTTTCTCAACACCTTTAATCTTATTTTCAACATTTTTTAATTTTTTTTCTCAACACCATTTAATCTTGTTTTCAACATCTTTAATCTGTAACTTAACACATTTTAATCATTACCTCAATATCTTTTAATCTTTATCACAACATTTTTAATCTTTACCTCAATACATTTAATCTAATTATCAACACCATTTAATCTTATTCTCAACATCATTTAATCTTACTATCAACACCTTTAATTTTTTTCTCAACCCCTTCAACACTTTTTTTTCTTTTTTAATCTTTTTTCTCAACATCTTTTAATCTTATTCACCTTTAAAGATAACACTTTTTAATCTTTTTTCTCAACATCTTTAATCTTATTCTCAACACTTTTTAATCTTTTTTTTTTTTTTGACACCTTCAATCTTATTATCAAAACCACTTACTTTTATTTATTTATTTATTTTTATCAATACCATAATTCTTGTCCTCAACAATTTTTAATCTTTTTCTCAACACATTTAATGTTGTTATCAATACATTTAATCTTGTTCTCAATACTTTTTAATCTTGTTATAAACACTTTTAATCTTATTTTCAACACTTTTTAATCTTGTTTTCAACACCTTTAATCTCTAACTCAACACATTTTAATCATTACCCAAATACCTTTTAATCTTTATCTTAACACTTTTAATCTTTACCTCAATAGTCAATACCTTTTAATTTTTACCTTAGTACCTTTCAACATTTTTTAATCTTTTTTTCTCAACACCTTTAATCTTGTTTTCGACACTATTTAATCTTGTTTTCAACACCTTTAATTTGTAGTTCAACACCTTTTAATCATTATCTCAATATCTTTTAATCTTTATTTCAACACTTTTAATCTTTACCTCAATACATTTAATCTTGTTTTCAACACCTTTTATAGAAAGACTGATTGAAGATTATATATGATGCAAAGCTTCATAATATAAGGCCATTATTGAAAAATGTACAACTCTTCAGGTACACAAAAGGGTGGTTCTAATAGTGATTTCTGTCTTCTTTTTTATTAACAAACCCAATATTATCTTGATTACAACATGAAATAATAATAATCTTTTTCTTACCTTAAATCTTGTTCTCAAAACTTTTTAATATTTTTCTCAACACCTTTAATCTTATTCTCAACACTTTTTAATCTTTTTATCAACACCTTTAATAATAATTTTTTTCTCAATACTTTAAATCTTGTTCTTAACACTTTTTAATTTTTTTTCTCGACACCTTCAATCTTATTATCAAAACATTTTTTTTTTTTAACACATTTAATTTTATTCTCAATCTCTTTAATCTTGTTCTCAACACTTTTTATTTTTTTATTTTTTTCAACACCTTTAGGGCATGTTTGGTGTGGTGGAATGAATTGGAATAGAATGAGAATGGAGGTGGGAATTGAATGAGAATGGAATGGAATGAGAATAATGATTCTCATTCCACCGTTTGGTTGTAAATATGGAATGTGTAAAAATAAAATCTCATTCTCATTCCTATGTTTGGTAAGAAAGTTAAAATAGAATGAATTTATATTATTTCTTTAAATTACATTTTATTATTAGTAAAAAAAATTAACTAAAAAAATTAATTTGCAAAAATAAAAGGGAAAGAGAAAATAGAGAGAGAAAAATAAACGAGATAGAGAGAGATCATTCCACCTCTCAAGAAGTGGAATGGGCATTCCACCTTTTTGATGGGATGGGCATTCCCTAGGAATGGCCGAATGCTCATTCCACTTGTAATGTGACACACCAAACAAAAGAATGGAAACAAATGCATTCCATTCCACCTTCATTTGATTCCATTCACTTACACCAAACATAGTCTTAATCTTTTTCTCAACTTATTTAATTTTGTTCTCAACACATTTTAATCTTTTTATCAATACTGTACCGTTTAATCTTATTCTCAACACTTTTAATATTTTTGTCAACACCTTAAATTTTGTCCTCAACAATTTTAACCTTTTTCTCAACACATTTAATGTTGTTATCAATATATTTAATCTTGTTCTCAACACATTTTAATCTTGTTGTCAACGCCATTTAATCTTGTTTTCAACACCTTTAATCTCCAACTCAACACATTTTAATCATTATCTCAATACATTTTAATCTTTATCTCAACACTTTCGAAAACAAGATTAAAAAGTGTTGAGAATAAGATTAAATGCATTGATAACTACATCAAATGTGTTGTGAAAAAGATTAAAAATTGTTGAGAACAAGATTTAAAGTGTTGAGAATAAGATTAAAATGTATTGAGAACAAGATTAAAAGTGTTGAAAATAAGATTAAAATGTGTTGATAAAAAGATTAAAAAGTGTTGAGAACAAAATTAAATAAGTTGAGAAAAATATTAAAGGTGTTGAAAAAAAAAAAAGTGTTGAGAATATTTTATTTTTCTTTTTTTCTGTTTTATTTTATTTTTTAGGTGATGCTTGAACAACCTAGTACAACTATACTATTTTGAGGTACACTGTGACGAGAGAGGGAGATGGCGTACGGGACGGTGACGAGGGAGAGAGGCGCTAAAGCAGAGAGGATATTTTGTTTTTCTTTTTTTTTTTTCTTTTTCTTTCATTTTTTTTTTTTTTTTTTTTTTTTTTTTTTTTTTTTTGGTAGGGAGGCCTAAAGCAGAAGATTATATTTTATTTTCCTCCTTTTTTTTTCTTTTTTTTTTTCTAAAGTTACCAATTTAAAAAAATATATATCTTTTTTCACTACAGTATGGTACATCAACAGTTTACAACAGAGGATCTTAGTCCCCTATCAAAAGGTATATCATAACCGGTTTTAACTTTCCATCCTGTTAAATTTGAAAAGATCAGTTTAAGAAATTATGAGGTGCCCTTTTGAGCTTCAAACCAGAACCGAGCCAGAATAAAATCGAACCTGTTTCAGAAATTTATATATATATATATATATATATATATATATTATTTTGAATATGAAAATTTTCAAAACTTTACAATCATTCTGATGCAACATAGTTTGATTTGGTTTCAATATTTCTGTTACCGTGGAGACTGCCAATTAATATAGCATTTTGACATCATTTAAGAGAAGAATTATTAATCTCAGTAATTTAATGAAACAGGAAAGCATCTCATCCCTAATCTTGAAAAGGGTATAAAAGAAGGTTTCATCCATTAGCTGAACTGTATTACAAATTCTACAAGCCATACACACATTTCACTACACCTACTTCCACCTGCGCCCCACCACCAACTACAAGAAAATTTCACAAAAAGTCAAGACACCGCCGCCGCCGCCACCACCACCTACAGGGAAAAATCACAAGAAAGACTGAAGAAATGCATCCACCTGACCATGGACAAGAACATTTTTCCTTCTCGTAAATATAGCATGATGACGTATTATCATTATCTTAACATCAATACTTATAACTTAAATTCCACCAACCACGGGCTGGCAGAGTTACCACTTTATTTTTAACTCAACCGGAGCAAAAACGATGGGTTTTTGCATTTCCATCAGTGCTTCTACAGTTGGAGGAAGACAAACTCTTCAATGGCGGGTACCTCCCCTATTTTCTTGAGGGTATCCACATCTGGTTCTTCGTCAACGCCAATTGCCATGATGGCCTTTGTCCTCTTGACAGTTCTTCCAACACTCATGAAGCTCACATTCACGTTTTGCTCACCAAGAAGGCTTCCAACCCGCCCAATCATACCTGGTTGGTCCACTTGACGGCACAGTATGAGGTTTCCTTCCAGGCTCACGTCCACACTAAACGTGCCGACACGTATCAGATGAGGTATCCCATCCTTCACTCTCCCCTCAATGCTAATGCATCCGTCTTCTAACATACCACTTGCAAATTTGGACTCCACATTGTTTATTTGCACCTGAATTGAGTCAACAGGACATTCAGGGGACGAGTCTACAACCACTCGTTCCTCACTAATGCGGAGACCTTTCTGCTTGGCTGTGAAATCCGCATTGACCAGATTGACAAATGAGCTGGATATTGGCTCAATGATGCCTTTTATGGTCATGGCACGGAGAAGCCTTGTATCCAAGTCATCTGGGTCTCGAGCTGATCTGTAAACCACCTTCACGGATTTAATTCCACTACCCCCAGCCACTAATTGTACCGCTAGCCTACCCAGCTTCTCAGCTAGCACAACATAAGGAGCCAACTCTGACATAACCTGAAAACAAGATCCAGAAATAAGTTTCGGTCCCCATTGAGCAATAAATAGATCATGGGGTCATGAAAGTATTAAGTGCTTGGCATTGTACCTCAGCAGGGACCATAGGAGCATTGACAGCAGTTGCAGAAAGTTCCCCTCTCAATGCTCCAACCACAGCCTCAGCTATCTCAATAGCAACACCTTCCTGAAGTATTAGGTTTTATACAAACGGTTATAGGGATTAGAGAATGTAAGATTAATGAAGAGAAAATGAATCAAGAGCAGAGCTATAGTTCATGTAAATGCTCAAAAGACGTACCTGTGCTTCCTTTGTGCTAGCTCCAAGATGAGGTGTGACAGTAACATTCTCATGCTGCACCAATTTGCTATCGCTGGGTGGAGGCTCCTCCATGAACACATCAAGTGCTGCCTGTTACAAACCAGTATGAGTGGGAAAAGGTCTTCTTGCATAACATTACACCAAAAACCTAGAACTAAATCTGCAATCATTGTACGAAGGGAGGATTATGTATAGGATAAAAATTAAAATAGGTCATCTTTCTGCTTCTTCTCCCTATTTATAAGGTAGCCAAGGTCCAACATTTCCATTGAGTTTTCCTGTTACGCTGAGGTGGGGGACCAATTGGACACCTCTGCAGTAATTTGAATCACCACAGTAGGAAGTACTTATTTCAATTACGTAATCAGACACGAACACCTTTCTTAGAGCATGTTATAATTAGTGGTAGACGTTGATCACTATCTTGTGATTTACTAGCACTTTGACCATAAAAATTCATCATCTAAAAAGGGAAGGTGGAGGGTTGGGAGAGGGGAAGAACGGAAAGGGGGGATTCAACAATCACCTCGAAACTGGCAATTAAAATTTGAAAGCATGAAAACCTACGCAAATGATTATTCCCGTATAATTTTCAGTATTGGAAACTCAACAGCCCAACGAATACTTTGACAGAAAATTTCAGCATTATTGGCAGGGACCAAAGCATACCTGTGCAACAACCCCACTATCAAGGGCCCTCACCAATGCATCTTCATCAATAACTCCTCCCCTAGCAACATTTATGATGCGGACTCCCTTCTTCACCTTGGCAAAAGTTTCATCATTCATTATCTTGGATGTAGCTGGAGTGAGTGGCATATGAAGTGAAATAAAATCTGCAGTGGAGACGGCCTCATCAAAGGAGACCAAATCAACACCAATAGCACGTGCTCTATCAGCTGGAGCATATGGATCATGTGCAATAACATTCATGCCAAGGCCCTTTGCACGTCTTGCGACTTCAGATCCAACTTTTCCAAATCCCATAACTGCTAACGTCTTTCCAACTAGAGAAACACCAACATACTTGTTCCGTTGCCATTTCCCTGTATAAATATATTACGCAGCAAATACAGCTAAGTTAACATGACTATATTGAATTTCAAGCATCCATTGGTAGAAATATACGAGGTGGACTCAAATATATTGAATTTAGCAATAGAAACCATGGTCTGAACTCTATAACCATATGCAACGGTAGCAATTCAAATTATTTCATATTAGATTATATTGGAGACTAATATCTACTCTCTAGTTTTTATGTATTAACAACTTCTTAGAGCAACTTTTCTCTTCAATTGCACTATGTCTTCAAGTAAGATTTACCTGATGAATAAGCGACCTCACAAAAATTGTTGTAGTTTTAACACGTCAATAAGGAAAAAGGTACTCAGCAACAACTTCATGTTAGTAAATAAAGCACTGTTCCAAATTTTAATTTGAAAGGATGAGACAACCGTTAAAGAACATGAAGTTCTTTGCAGGAGGAAAGAAAAACCATGGTAAGTAGTAAAGCTAAATTAACACACAACTTACATAATAGGTCATTCCAAATTAAAGAACATGGATACATAATTCAGGCTGAGAAAAAGGCATAATATCCAAGTCATGTGGCTGAGTCAGAGCAATCCTGAGTGCAGCTTCACTGCAATCACACTAATCTAAATTTAACCTTGATTGTCATTACAAACAATTTCCTTCCGTCCTGAGATTTTAAGGAAACCAAATGGAACATAACAAGAATGATAATAAATGGGATGAGATGTTTTTAACAACGGCAATGCATCTGAAAAACTTTCATCATAATTCAACCACAAGGGAAGGTCAAAGCCATCCTAGCACTACAGCCTATACATCTTAGGTTGGCCGGGTGACTGTTTAAGACTTAAATGTTTTCCAAAATAATAATTATTATTAAAAAATTAAAAATTAAAAAAAAAACTGTAAATATGTCCGGATATGGAAACAATACATACATCCTGCCTGGCAAAATGGGACCAAAATTATAAATTAGGATAGATCTTACTTCCATGTATGCCAGGACATGACATAATCTATTTCTCTATATATAGCCTTTTTTTAAATGTACGTGATAAAATACTTCTACCCAAACTGTAAAATTCAGTTATGCAGTGATTAACAATACTAGTCTTATATAATCCTCACATGTGCACCCGTTTGAGTGTCTGCGAGTAACCATCTGATGTTAATATGCAAGACAGCTCTATTTAAAGTTATAGATACATTAGAGAGAGAAAAAAAGGTAACAAAATGTAAATATATATAAAACAAAAAACAAGCAACCTACCAAAAAGTGGCAGATAAAATTCCAAATACAAACAAGTATAAGTACACAAGCGATAATTTCACCTAGTAAATGTCATCTTACAGTCATAAAATCCAATTACAAACATATACAAGTTCCGACATTTTCTATATATTTAAATTTAAATAATTAAAAAAAAAAAAAAATTTGAAGTTTCTGGTAAAAATTTCCTATTTTACTCAACCTATTGATAACTCATCAACAGATCTGTGAAAAATGGATTGTAAAAACAACAATTCATAACCAAAAAAAGAAAGAAAGAGGAAGCTATACCAGATTTCATGGAAGCATCTGCCTGGGCAACATTTCGCGCCATGGCAGCCATCAAAGCAATGCCGTGCTCGGCGGCGGCGATGGTGTTGGCGGTGGGAGCATTGACGACGAGGCATCCGAATTCGGTGGCGGCCTGAAGATCCACATTGTCGATGCCGACACCGGCCCTTCCCACAACCTTCAACCGCCCCTTGGCGGCCTCGAACACCTGGCGAGTCACCTTCGTCCCACTCCTCACAATCAACGCATCGCAGAGCGAGATCTTAGTGCACAGCTCTTCCGGCGACAGCTCGTAGGAGCAATCGACGTTGCCGAAGCTTCGCAGCAGCTCGAGACCGGCAGCTCCGAGCTTCTCGGAGACGAGGATTGTCGGTTTGGAATTGGATCCGACGAATTCACTCTCTCGGCCTTTGGAAATCGATGTGTCGGCAGATTCAACAGTCTGTATAGAATTTCGAGCAGCGAAGGATTGAGTTAGAGGACGAGAACAAGACCGAGAGTGAGAATGAGAAAGTTTGAAGGAAATTGTGCTTGATAAAGAAGAATTGAGGAAGGACAGCTGAGAAGATTTGGTTGAAGAAGGAGAAGAAGAGGAGGTGAAGGGAGGAGGAGAGAGAATGGGATTTGCAGAAGAAGCGGAGGTGGCCATGGTATTTCTCTCTCTAGGTCTTCTGTGTTTTAGGAGGGAAGGAGAGAGAGATTGTTGGTTGAGTCTCAAAAAGTTTGGGAGAGGGGAGGGTTTTATAACTGTTCGAATCCCTATTTGGATTTTGTGACGTGTTGTAGAAATGTTGTATCCAACCATAGATCTCTGTCATTTTCCCAAAAAAAAAAAAAAAAAAAAAAAAAACATAGATTTCTGGGCTTATTCTAAAGATAAATTTACCTTTACACCCTCAACTATTATCAGTAAATTTGATTATTTTTTTTCTTTTTCTGTAATATTTATTGACCTAATAGTAGAAAAAAGATAAGAGCGAGCTGTGATTGAGAAGAACAAAATGAACGAGTGGGAAAAATTATTAAATATATGAGGTTGAAGAAACGCATATGGTGTGGCACTTTGTGACCGCAATTTCACGTAATGAAAATATTGACATATATCAAGTTATTCCCTTGCATCTCACATCTTGACTACGCATTCTAATTTTCCCAAATAATACTCATCTTATTGTTTCCATTAAAATGATAAACCTAGGAAGAGAAATGGAATGCCAAATAAGGATATATGAGTAAATTGATGTTAAGGTGGCCCCATGTGCTCGTGAATTGTGAGGGTTCCAAGCAAGCGCCTGCCGTTTGTTGCGCCACCTCCATTGAGGAGTACGTCTTTTCTTCCTTCCTTCCTCGGGTCATCCTTTTTTTACTTTTCTGGGTTATATGGTCAATTTGGTTACGCATATGTAAGTGTCATGGGAGCGTGAACTTGGACATAAATGCGGGTCCCACAAATCCACCTACCACAACTTACCAATTTCATACCAATCCCAATCCCAATCCCAATCCCAATCCCATTTGGTGTTCATATTAGTATATACTGTATTTATTTGATGTAAAATATTAAATATACAAACATACATATATATGCCTGTACTTTTTGTCTCAGTGCATTGTTTCTGAGCTGAGAAAATGTCACAACTTTTCAAGAAGAAAATTACATGTTCATCCCTGTTCCCTTAAATGTGGTAAAATATACCAGTAGAGTGGAGACATAAATTATCCTGAAATTGAATGTTTAGATGACGGAGACCAATATATGACTATTTTAATCTGAAGTGGACATGCAGATATTATTACGCACGAGATACATTCTATCCATTTGTACAATCTTGACTCTTATCGTGATTCTAGTGGAGCAATAGGTGATACTTTTTATGATTTTGACTTTTACTAGTTTTTTACTCTCCCATCCCTTTAAGGCTACTATGGCAGAATCTTTTCGAACCAATTTGATGTACATATTCTGAGATTATGTGCATGCACCTGATAATTGGTAAGCATATTCTCCCAAAAAAAAAAAAAAAAAAAAAAACCAACGAATACAAGCCGCCACACACTAATTATTCTAAAATTTCAAATGGTTTTTTTTTTTTTTTTTCAAAAAGTCTTGAATGAGTTGAAATAAACCTAGGAGAGACATTTTTCCAAGTACAGTTGACACCTTTGGAGTGAATGTTAAGAAAGTAAAAGCTATATTCATCTTTTCATATTATCATCATTTTGGCTTGAATCCCAATCGAAATCACATCAATAAATTACATGAGAAAGCTACTAATTAGAACTGTATGTGTGTGTGTGTATATACATATATATGAGTGTGTCAATTGCAGAAACTCCTATAATATATTTACAATGCATATTACACTCCTCACGTGCAAAAACTAACCGTACATTATGATATTTGTGCAAATAGATCATATTCACACATTTATGATAAAATTGGATTAAAATGTCTTTAGCTACACATTTAATAATATATATATATATATGTAAAATTATTATTTTGTGAAATGACTAAAAAGGATAACTAAAAAAAACCATCTTCCCTCCTCTTTCTTCTTTTTCCCCGGCCACAAGTTCCAAAGGCCATTATTTTCGGGTACAAGCTCCACCCAAGACGTGTGGCAGCTCTCTCTGTGTCTCACTAACACAGACCACATGCCCAGTACAAGCAAGAACCCGAAAAAGCCATCAACTAGTACAAGCAAGAACTCAAGTTTGGCCAAGCTCCGGAGACATCTTCGACCCACATCTGCGAAACCCAAAACCCACATTGAGATGATACTGACGATTCACACACTCCATCACAATGGGCAATTTTAGAAGAGTAAAATGGTAGAATTGGCATTACAGTACTAATTTATATCAAATTATTTATTAAGGAGTATTTTCGCACAATATGAAAAGAGTAGGAGTTTTTTTTACACACCTTTTCAAATAGGGATAAAAGTACTACCAAAAGTATGTGTGTGTGTGTGTGTGTTCATTCTTATGACATGTTTTTATTTCTTAAAGTAGCTTAAGTTTGGAGAGCAACCATCTAATTTGACCATGTAGCTAGTGTTGTGTTTCTTGGACTACCTTACAATTTATCACTGAATTGGCATGTATTGTCGATCTTCACCAAGGGCGAATCTAGAAATTGTCAATCGGGGTGCTAGTATTGAACATAAATTTAATTACATAATTTCATAAGCAAATTTTTTTTGAATGGGTTAAAAAGGGGGGCTAATACTACTATTAAAATAAAAAATAAAAAAAATTTAAAAATTAGGCTGAAAATACAATACTAAAAAAAAAATTTTTTTTTGGGGGGGGGGGGTCAAGCCCACCCAAGCCCCCCTCTGTGTCCACCTGTGATCTTCACCAACTTTATGATCTACGTATATCCATATAATAAATTATAGAAAATGATATTATTAACTACTTTAATACCCCAATTTAAAATCACATATATAAAAATTTGACGGGATTATTATAAAATTTTAACTAAATAAATAGACATCATTACTACTCTTGTTTGTTTCGATAAAACACGTTAATTTTCCTTTCGCTTTTTTCATCTTTTCAGTTTTTCATATCTGTTTTCTTATCTTTTTAGTTCACACAGCAATAATTTTCCTTTCCCTTTCCTTATCTTTCAGTTTTTCATATCTCCTTTCCTCGTATTTTTTAGTTCTACATAGCCGTATTATCTTTTTTTTCGTTTTCATTGCAACTTTCATGGTACTCAAATTTAATAATTTGATTTGTATAAAATCTAGAGCAAAAAATGCAATGTTTTTAAAATTTTTCCATACTTTGCAATTTTTTTTAAAATTTCTCTTCTTGTTTTTGTTTCTGGAAGTCAGATAGATCATTAGCATTGACCATTATACCAATTAACAAATGCCTATCAAAGTAATAGATGATTATTAATGATCAAAGACACAATGCGAAGTATCTCAATAGTTTTTACAGAGATGCAATTTGAAATATAAAACATATATATATATATATAGTGGTTGAAACTTTAATTGCCAACAAAGATACTCATAAACTTAGAAAAACGATTACAACTTTTTAATATAATCAATTACCTTATATTTTAAGATGAGTCCCAGTATATTTGACACATGAGTACCACCTAAACTCGATAAAATAGTAAATTTTTATTTATCAGGCCAAATAACATAACTCATAAATTATATGAGGATATAGTCCTAAGAAAACTTAAGTTTATAACCTTTAAATAAGCTATCTCACCAACACGCCTGTGGCCTAGTGGTACAAGACTCCTATTTCCTAAAGGGAGGTCAAGGGTTCGAACCTTAGTGGATGCAGTCTGTGAGTCCCACTTACGAAAAAAAAAAAGTGTAGGAAACTATCCCTTAAAATTGAATAAGAGAAAATATTCGAGACCACAAGAGAAAGGATAAGTGAGAGAGAAAAGGAGAAAAATTAAGTTGGGGTCCTAAAAAAATGGTAGTCATTGCCGCATAACTCGCCCTTTCCCTATCTACAAACATTGTCATAAAAGGCCATACAGAGACAAACAAATCATGAAGCAATAAAAGAAAAAATTGCACCAGCGACCACCAAAGGAGAAGAGTAGTAACGGGAGTGACTCCATTACCAAGGCAATAGCTCCAAGGCTGCATCTATAAGACGCCGCCGACCGGGAGAAAAATCATTCAAACCCCGCACAAAAAGGCACCATCCAAGCCCCGCACAAAAAGGCAGGGACAATAAAACCCTACATAGATTAGAGATTTAGCCGGAGACAAAACAACAGATCCACCTCGTCGAGCCAGAAACAAGACAAATAGGAACAGATCTAGCAAAATAACAGCAAAACGACATGAAACCCACCTGTGATACCCTCGGATTTCCGAATGCGGGTTGGCCAGGCTCACGCCCAATTACCCGAGGACATCAAACCAATTAGCAATTAACGAACACAGAATACAATTAATATAATAGGAACGAATAAAAATTTTGCTGAAAAGAAACTAAAACGAATATCTTTTATTGAAAATCCTCAGAAATAAAAATTTTATAAATAAGAACTAGTTTGATACATCCAACTTTTTCTCCACTTCTAATACAATTCGGGAATCCAACTCGTGGACCCCTACTAAAAATCCAATATTGAAAAATGAACAACTGAAAAGAAATCCAATGCTAAACCATGAGGAATACTCCTACGTCGTCGGTAGAGTGAGTGACCGTCTCTGCTTAGCACGAACAAGTCTAAGTCTGGAACTGATGAGTACTTGAAAAATAGTAGTAGGTCAGGCCCACGAACAAGTTCTCACCTACTACAATCCAAGCAGAGACTCGATACGCATATACATTCTAACCAACTCAACCATAGCTAATAGTCCGTACGTATGTATATTCACACTACAGGACTCTCACTGGGCTATGAAGAGGGTCTCAACCTGAATAGAAGGCAACATGCGAAAACGCACCCATAGGTGGGCATGAGTACCTAAACCTAAACAGGGTATACCTCAACCCTCACAGCCAGCTACGCATCATATTGCATATATGCACCCTAGCCGTCGACGCTGAGACTCAAGCTCACATCACGGTATCATAAAACTATATTTAAACTCCGTTCTTAACAATTCACAATAAATCCAGTAAGTCGTTCGGCGTATTCAACCGCACCGACTCATAAATATAAGGAAGATTTTATTTAATAACCCGCGCCCTTATTCCAAAATAGGTTGGACTGAGTATTTTGAATCAGTCGGTTCCTAGTATGCCATCGTCCCA